GTTTCTTTTGGTTCCGACATTGCACAAGTTTTAGATGCTGTGTGGGTTCAACAGAACAAGCCTGCGATTGAATCTTTTTGCGGGCCCGGGCAACTTGGCGGTCGCAGCGACCCTGCGTCAGCTGTTTTGGCTATTGTGCTCTTGTGCCAACTCCGTCGGGCGCAGGGAGCACCGACGTACCTTGCTATTGCCGATCTCCAGGCGGCTTTTGATTTGGCCGATATTCCCACCATGTTGCAGAACATTTTTCGGGCAGGTGTTAAGGGTTGTTGGTGGCTACTGATGGACGACATTCTGGCCAGCGACGCCCAAGTAGTGTCCTTGCACGGGTTTATCTCTGCAGTTTTTTCATTGGGACAAGGAACTGCCCAAGGTCGCCGTTTTTCATCTTTTCTGTTCAATGCTTTCGCGGTTGATTTACACGATGCCTTGGAGGGCGCAGTTCCGCAGGGTACATGTGCTATCTGGCCCCCTTTCGGACACCAAGCATTGCTTGAAGCTGATCATGCCAGTCCAGCGAGTGACTTGGATAACGTGCCTTCAGACCCACAAGTCTTGCACAATGCAATCTGCAGCATTCAGGATGCTGTGGCTGCAGACTCGTCACCTTGGTTTGAAAGTTGTAAGCTCACGGTTTCGTGGTTGTCCTTGTTGCCTAAGCTGTCAGATCGCATCTTGCTTTTGGAACGCCTTGGTCGTTTTTCAGTTGGCCCTATCCAGTATATCGACGATACGAGTATGCCTTGCCCAAGCGTAGGGTCCCTCAAAGCAGTCATTGCAACGAGTCCCCAGTCTGCGTGTGAACGTTTTGCTGCTTCGACCGGTAGTAAGATTAATCGCAAGCCTGGGAAGACGACGGTGATGGCTATGTGTGATAGCCCACCTCCGTGTCCGGGTGCAGTGGGGTGTGAAGTTGCTTCCACCCATACGTGTCTTGGATTCCTGCTGGATGACCAAGTGAGTATGGAACCTATGCTCTCTTCTGTTGTTGCCCATGCTAACAATGCTCTTTCAGGGTTTTGCAATGCTGCTATTTGTGCTGGAATTCCCCTCACCGCAATCGCAGCCGAGATACCGTCTCGCATTGATGCAATTGTTAAGTATAGGGCCCCTTTTTTGGTTTTAGCCCCCGGTTTCGAGTCGGTGTTGAATAATGCTCAGTACAAGTGGGCTTTGGAGATCCTTGGTTGCAACCCTGGCATCAATGTTAAGCGCGCATTGCCGCCATCCCAGCTGGGATGGAAAGCGCGGTTGGGTTCGGTTGTGATGGAGGCAGCCATCACAATGTTGGCAAGACTCCAGTGCCTACCAGATGATCACCCTGCCTCGGTGATGGTACAGGCTGCTACGCTCACTGGCTTGCCGACATGGATAACACATGTGTGCCAGTGCATGACGCGACTTTCTTCTCATGGCTGGACTCTGCAAATCACCGAGCATACTGCCTTTGCTCCTGGGGTGGCCATGGCGAAGAGCGACCCGGCTTACAGAAAGCTTCTCATCAAGCAGTACAGAAAGCATGTCGTTGCTCCAGTTATTCATGCATACGATGACGCGTGGAGACGCGGGCATTTGCAACAAGTCTGCGAGGGTTTTGGGCTTCGCTATGACCAGATTCCGGTTACAGGCACTGCGTTGCCTTGGTCATTGGCAAGGTTGGATCTCGGGCCAAGTACCTTATCTTCTCTAAGGACTTGGTTGTTTGTTCGTTGTTCTGGCCGATGGCCGTCAGCTGGCCAGCACTCAGAGGCTCCCACCCTTCGGGACTGTTGTCCTTGGTGTGCGGCCTGTCTGGTGACTGTCAGGCATGCTCTCTGTGAGTGCCCTGGTACCGCGCGAAGCCGTGCTTCATTGTTGGGTGACTGGTGGCAGCTTATGTCTGGCCAGGCATTTCTGGAGTATCTGTTTCGCCTTGATGAAGATGTGGAGCGAATGCAGGCTTGTATATATTTCGTCAATCGAGCTTTGGCCCCAAGTGTTCTCACATAGATCGGGAGCCGAAGGCTTGTGAAAGACCAAGTCCTTCCGGCTCGCTCCGGTCTTTGCTCCCTCAGTGGTCGTCGTTGCGGGAGCATATCAGTCCGAAATGTGAAATGTGAAATGTAACCTCCCCCACCCCCCGTACAGGATTCGAAGCCTAGAGGCCTAACGCCAGTGATCCTCCCCAGTCCTCTCTGTTATGATTTCGGCTGTTCTACTTAGATAGTGAACGGGGGAACTTTTATTTTTTTTGCGTTATATATTTTCTCTATCTTAGAAAGTTTGAACTTTCGGGGCCCGGTGGCTGAAGAAGAGAGTCTACGTTGAGGATGAAGGTTGTGTTCATTGGGACTCGATGGCTTACCCTCGGGCTCTAAGGACTCATGTTTGAAGTCTTCTCTTAGGGGTACTTAGAAGTAGTTTTTATTTTTGGTTATTATAATCCCTAAGAGACAGCTAAAATTATAATTTTTGCTAGGGTTCTAAGTTCAGTATAGTTTTGGGCTCAAAGAACATACTAGATGAGGCCTTTGGGGCTATTTTGTTCCCCAGGGTTGTAAGGCTCAGGGTTCACAAACGTATGATCTCGGTGGTTGTGGTTTGTGGCTTTTGATGTTTTAGAGTCTACTGCATCGTCCTCACTCTTGAGTTGAAGGTTAGCTGCATACATACATACATAGAGCCCGTGTAGCAGAACCTTTATGGTGACCCCTTTGAGAATCCGTCTGGCAACCCTTATCATGGAATCCCAGTTAATGTTCACTGCATCAATCAGTTGCTGTTGTCGCGGTTGCATCCTGCCATCAAATGCAGGAAGCCGGATATCGGAATTTCGCGGCGCGGGTAGTTCCAACGCTGTACAAAGGCTGGTTGCCGGGTTCAGAAATCCGACTTCCCCCCGACGTCGTCAAGAGTCCGGGTGAATAGAGTTGTTACCCTAAGGGTCCATGTACTTAAATAGTATATACATTGGCCTTAAAGTACTCCCTATATGGGTACATTGGGCCTAAAGTATATACTATTTGGGTACATGGACCCTCAGGGTTATCATACAGCACAATATACCCCAGAAGCCCCCCCTAACCCCACGAAGGAGAAGGACCCACCCGGCCCGAAGCCTCAGGCCATGAACGGGCCTGTGCACTGAAAGCCTAGCCGTTAACCTTATCCCCTACCCTGAAAAGCCTAAACTCTTCATCTATAAAACCTTATAACCTAAAAAAAATTTTATCCCTGAAAAGCCTAAACTCTTCATCTATAAATCTTATAACCTCCCCTGAACGCTACCCTCTGGAAATGCTAGACTAGAGGCCCTCTACATACAGTCAGGTCCCTGCCCCGAAGGGTCCATGTATCCACATAAGTAGATACTTCGGTCTCAAAGTACCTACATAGCAACTAAGACCAAAGCATATACTATGTGGGACATGGAATGGAGCCTTACGGTGCTGTCGTCGGATAAAATCCACAGTCCCATTCCAATCAGCGCCCAAGGAGTCTTTTTGTCGAAGACCTTGTGTGTGGGCCAGACCTAAACTGCAATAAGCACTACCCTAAGAGTCCATGTAACATAGAAGCCATAATGATTAGACCATTATGCTACAGTTATAATAAGGAACGTCCAAATAGTATTGGCATTTATTTAGGCCGCTATAGTACTATCCTTTACCTAGACAGTATGTCCTGTGCAGGTGTCTCAGGATCAACGTATATGCTATATAGGTACATGGGTCCTGAAGGCTAAACCCTCAACCTTAGCAAGTCCCGCGTTCTAGATGCTTAACAAACCGCCAGCCTCTGGTGCTAAGCCCTAGACCCTAAATCCCTTAACCTTCGACTGGTATCAGATCCGTCTGTACGGCGCGTACTGGACCACGTGGAGAAGTACGCGAAGCTGAAGGAGGACACCTCTGTAACTCAGTCACCGGGCTTTTAGAGCTGAGGGCTCTGAGCTTCTGGTGTTCAGGGTTGACATTTCAGGTTCTGGGGTCGGGGCTTAAGATTTTAGTACCAAGTGTCGAGAGTTATTAACTTGTTTAAAGACTTTGATATTTTAAACTTTCGGAGAAGATTCGGTGAGTAGGACTAAATCGCACAGGGCTGTGCCGAGTCGTCGTCATTCGAAGCAAGTTAGCTCTCTCGCAAGTGATTTGACTCTCACAGTGAAACCTCTCAAGCCTTATGGGAGCACACTGGGCAGTGGACCGGAGCCGAAATTCTATGCCTTCGCAAGTGTTCGAAAAGAGTCCCCGAGCTCCCTAACCCATCCTGGACCGCAAATAGCCTACCTTTTGCAGGGTTCCATGATTACTAAGGTAGGTTCTTGGGGATTTGGTAACCCCCAAACTGGCCTGAACCCCCAATGACCGGTCGGCATGTGTTTCCCCAAAGGATCCAAGTGCCAGTATACAGTAGGTATTTGGACCCAAAAAGTACTTTTTATAGGGGCCTTTTTTAATTACCCATACTATTTCAGGGGCTCCTTATTAAAATTATGGTATACTACTTGGGCCCTCAGGGTTCGGATCGACCTTGCAATGTAATGTTTGTGTTCAGGCTGTACCACAGGCATTTGAAGAAAAATGCAGGAGTTTCGGGTTCAGGGATTCACGGTGTTTAGGGTTTAGGGTTTTTTTAGAGCTTGCCTAAAGCTTGAATAACCTACCTTTTTAGGGTTCCCTATTATGATTCTTTATGTAAGTCCGCAAAAAGGTATATAGGTTCTTTAGGGTCTGGGTAGGTAGGGTTCAGGAAGTCTGAGAGAGATTAGGATTCAGGGGGTTTCGGTGTTTCCTTTGGGTTCCTTCACCCAGAGAATAGTAAGGTTTTAGGTTCCAACATCCATACTCTGAATGGGTTCCATACTGTGAGGACCTTGAAACCCTATCATTTAGGTACTCGGACCCTTAGGGCTAAAATTTAACCCCCCCTCCAAATAGCGGACGTGTTCATTTGCAAGTGTGTGCTTATTCTCATTACAAAGGCCCCTGATGAGGAACGTCATCCCGTCTTTCCTGAGGACTGAACCCAGCAGTCTTATCCATCGTTCCGTACAGATCGGGCTTGCTTAAAACGGTGAGGAAAGTGAAGGTTGTTCCGAGCAGACGGGCCCTAAATATTGAGCCCTAAAGGCTTTGCACTTTAAACCCTGTAGAACCCGTATAGAGTCCTTGAGGGAAGCTTCAAAGGAACTCCCATAGTACATCCAACCTCTGCGGGTTTGGGCCCAACCCTAAACCCTAAACCCTTCCTAAATCCCGAAACCAGAGTTTCCAGATCTTCGGCCTTCGGCGGCGCAGCGTTTGGGATTTAGGCTTAGTTTTTTATGTATACATGTATATGAATATTTGTGTCTAAACCTAGCGTTTGTTTGTATTTGGTGTACTATACGATTTTCGAGAAACACATAAAAATCCTACACTAGATGCTTATATCAACCCCAAGCTCTAAGCTCTACAGCCTAAGCCCTAAGCCAGAGCCGTCCAGGAGAAGACAGGCGGGAATCCGGGACTAAGGGTTTGGGTGTGAGGGCCGCAAAATCCCAAACCCTAAGGGGCCGAACGTACTATAACCGGTTGGCCCAGTACTAACAAAAAACATGCTCATACCATGCTAATACTACAATCCCTATGGGTCCATGTACCCAAATTAGTATAAGGTACTTTGGCCTCTCAGTACCCAAAAAAGGGACTGCTTTACGGCCAAAGTATATACTATTTGGGCGCATGGACCCTTGTTTTCAAGCTATATAGATTGTCCCAAGAGCTGTATCGCGCAATCATGTTGCTTGTGGTGGCGATGACACATCGTGGTCCTATATTGGGATCATATTACCCCAAACCTGAAGTAAACCCTAAAGCGAATGCTGATTGATGTAGTGTAGGTGGTTTGAATGGTTATGTGGGAGGGGGAAGCGTGACCTATATCGACATGACAATTACCCTAAGGGTCCAAGTACCTAAATAAATAATGGGGTTTCAAGGTCCAAAAACCATTCGGAGTATGGACGGATGTTGGGACCTAAACCCTTGCTATTGGGTATTCGGACCCTCTGGGTGGAAAAGATGAACGAGGCGACCGTGGCGCTGTTCATGAATGGTGGTGCTGCCAGCAAACAGGATGGTCATGGTTCCGGAGATTGCGATGGCGATGATGCCTGCTGCCTTTCTCTGGGTTCTTGTTCGTTGAGGAGTTTAATTCACAGGGATCTGTAGTAAATAATCTGGCTTTCTTATGCTGGCAACTTAAAACAAATCCCTTATCAAGAACCCAGTTCTTGGTCTCGTCATACTGGCATTGCTAACAGGTGTGAAGTCAGCACATTGGAAAGATCGCAGTTCTGGTTCCTGCAACAAGCATTCTAGACAAATGCACAACTCAATACTGCCACTACACAGTACAGTCTTCTCGCGCTTGCTATTCTCGGCGTTCGGGACTGTCCTGCTGAAGGCGTTATCAACAAAAAGTACGTTGAGGAGAACTACGGTCCTGATGCTCGGCTTCAAGCAGCCCGAGTATGCGAAGCCGTCCACGTTTTATTCCTCAGGTCCTGAAGTGTGTTGGCTGCGAGTTTTAGCGGTGGCCGAAAATGACAGCCATAATCAGTAAAGTTTCTTCATAGGAGCACTTCTGGGCGAACCTAGTGCAGAATGAGTGGGGCATGGTTGTTGGTTGGAGGCGTTCTTCATCGTTTCTGTGTGGCTTAGGTCTTGTTTGATGCAAGGCCTTTTTGGTTTTTAGTTGCGGATCAAGCCTGATCAAGCAAAAAGCCGTGCTGGCTGAGGCAGCTGCTTGCGCCGAGCACAAGGACCCCCAAAAGAACTGGAAACCGAGCTGTTCGCAACTCAGTGTCTATGCCCGGAAGCCTTCTAGGTAGGGCCTGACTTTGGGACATTTTATATTTTCCCTTATTGGGCTTAAGAGGATCTTATCTACTAATATTTTTCGAAAGCTTTAAAAGCCCCACCTAGCCTTGGCCGAAGCTTTGGCCGGAACCCTAAACTGAAGTCATGGAAGTCATTGGAACCATTCCTAGGATGCCCAGTAGTACCCTTATTCCCTTTTTGTAGTCCTAGGTTCCTTATAAAGTTACCCAATACCCAAAAGAGATGCCTTCTTATTCTTAGGTTGCTGGGTATCCTAGATTCCAAAGAGCCATACATACGTCAGCGCCCCAGAAGTTAGTGGTGCCTTTCCAAAATTGAAGCCATCGCCAGTCTGTGTGAGAGGCGATTGTTTATGAGACCCATATGGTTTTGGTTGCGACATGACAAAGGCCTACTCCCTGATCCCCTAAACCCTCAACCCCTAAACCCCTAAACCCTAGACCCATAAACCCTAAACCCCTAAACCCTAGACCCATAAACCCTAAACCCCTAAACCCTAAACCCCCAAACCCCTAAACCCCTAAACCCTAAACCCCTAAACCCTATCATGTTTCGACCGCCCCAGAGTCCGAGTCAAAAGCCCTGGACACAAACCTGAAAGTCTCAGTCCTACCAGGACCCCCGGATTTGACGTTTAGGGTTTTAGGGTGGTAGGGTTTAGGTGTACCAGGACCCCCAAAGGCCCCTTCATGGAGCCCTTCTGGTCCTGTGAAGTGTGCATTTAGGGCATATTAAAGGGTCCAAGTACATCGCAACCTCCAAGAGTTTAATTACCTTAAGGCTCCTGGACCCTTGTAGTGAGATCCTGGACCCTAGCCCCCAAAGCCGAAACCCTCCCCCAGAAAGCCGAAGACCCTCTCAGGAGCCTTAGGGTAGGGCTCAGGATGAGGGTTTGGGGTTTAGGGGGTTTCGGCTTTAGGTCGGGAATTGGTGCTCGATGTAAAATCGAAACTTGCCCTAAAGCACGAACCACCCCCCCCCCCGCCCCCTCTAGCTTTTTCCATGGCCGTGCGGTAACACCCATATATCTAACAGAATATGATTGCAAGAAGCTTCCCCAAAGGCTCAGACCTTTCGGGGATGTGGACTTCTGCTTTAAGATCAGTACATGTACTTCCGTTCTGTGTGATGTTGTTGTGACTCCTCCAGGCGATAAAAAGCCCGAATACAAGCTCAACTTTCGATTCAAGGTGTAGGATTACGTAGAGGCTCCATGGTAGTTCCTTTTTGCGGTTCATAAATAGAATCCTATAAGGTAACCCCAAACAGAAACTACTATGGGGCCTATGGGTAGTCTGCATTCTCAAAGCCGTATGGCCGTATCGGCCCTGAAACCCCGAAGGGCCGGTCTTGAACGCTTTTCATCACAGACCTGAAACAGCACTTGATGTTCCATTACCCTAAGGGTCCATGTACCTAAATAGTATATACATTGGCCTTAAAGTACTCCCTATATGGGTACATTGGGCCTAAAGTATATACTATTTGGGTACATGGACCCTCAGGGTTACCCTAACCGTAAGGCTCAAAATGCCCCCATAAGACTGATGTAGTTTGGTCTTTGGGCCCAGAAGCCTTCAAATCTGAGTCCTTAGAGCCTAAGGGTAAGGATCCATGTGCCCAAATAGTGTATGCTTTGGCCGTAAAGTCGTCCCTTTGCAGGTACTTTGGAAAATGCTGTAGTGCCCGAGGCGCTACGCAGCTACATCCCAATACGTCGAATGCACAGCCTCAGGACGACTAGACTCCTTCGATTGAATATGCCAAATCTTAAAGTCTTAGAGGTCATCCAGCCTACCCAGAGGCCCCAAAGTAGTTCTTTTTTGGGATTACCCTATAGGATTCTATATACGAGCCCCCAAAAGGAACTACTTTGGGGCCTTTGGGTAAACCCTAAGTATTCTTTCAAGCCCCAAACCCACCATGCAATCGCTAGATTCCCGAACCCGGGGCTCCAATTCCATGTCAAGGCCTCTTACCCACTGATCCACCATAATGTAGGGGCCGTAATAATAATAATAATAATAATAGGGTTTCGGTGCCTAGTATGCTGTAATTGTAGCAAGGAACCCCGCAATATAGTATTGGATATTATTTAGGCCTCTATATCATCTGCTTGCAAAGGCTCCTCAGCACAAGCTCAACCCTGAATCCTGCTTGAAGGTGCAAGGTAGCTATCGTTACTTCACTCCACGAGCCTTGAATTCCAAACCCTAACCCCAAACCGTAAACCCTGAACCCTAAACCCCCAACAAGCCGCCCAAGCGCTACACAAAGGTGAGTGGACGAAAGGCAAGTTACAGCAACTGGTGGGCGACTGGGCTCATTTGTTGAGTCAGGCGGTTCAGGGTTGCAGGGTTCACTTAGGGCTCAGGACTTATATACGTCAATACAAATGCAAGTATGTGTGTATATATGAATAGATAAATATATATCTATATATATATATATATATTTCTATATATCTCTCTCTCTCTCTCTCTCTCTTTCTTTCTTCATGTTTGAATATGGTCACACCCGCTGTCAGGTTTGAGGACCTCAGAGACCCTCCACCCCAAAATCCAAGTTTCTAAGGTTTAGGGATGTAGGGCTTTAGGGTTTGGGTTTTTGGGTTTAGGATTTAGGATTTAGGGTTTAGGATTTAGGGTTTAGGGTTTGGGGTTTTTGGGTTTAGGACTTTTAGGGTTTAGGGTTTAGAACAGTTTTGGGTATTGAGGGTTTAGGGTTTAGGATGCAAGTTTCATGCAGTGCTTGGACTTGAAAGTTTCAGCTTAAGTGCTCTTAGGAACCATCTTCCTTTTTATGTTATAACTCCAAGGGGTTATAGAAAAAAGCCAGCAGATGTATAATCGTCCTAAAGGCGCTTAATTCAGGATGTAGCACTGCCGAGTGAGGTGCTTACTTGTTTACCTTGCAGAAGTCTTAGGTGTTGTCTGAAGGTTCGTAGGATGCGGGTTTAATGCTGAGGCATCAATAATTAGAATAGGGTTTGGGGCTATATTTTACTACAGTACTAATTCTAATCCAAATCCCTACTATTCGAATTATCAAAGCCTCTACAGTAGACAGCTGCACTCAGACTGAACAAATTTGGGTTGCGGAATGTTGGGTTTCAGGATTGACCCAGCGAAGATTCTCAGCCAGACAGCCCATGAAATCGTCCAACACTTGCTCTACCTCCCGTTTTGAAGCAAAACCCTAAACCCTAAACCCTAAAACTTCGCTTCATCACCCGAAGCCAGAAGTCCTAAATCCCAGCCAGGCATTGCTGAAAGTCTGATCCAGAAACACGATACCGACAACCCTATAAAGCCTTTGGCGTAAACCGTAAAAAAGATGGGGGCCGTCATATGATAACTACAAACCCTAAACCCTAAACCCGGAACCTACAAAATAGTATAGGTAATTATGCAGGCGCCTCATATTAAACCCTTCGCCCTTGTAGGGCCTGGTCAGTCACCTACCCTAGTGGTTTGGGGTTTAGGGGTTTGGGGTGTAGGGGGTTCTAGGGTTTCGGGTTTAGGGGTTTAGGGTTGAGGTACCCCATACTACGGGTCCATGTACCCAAGTACTAGAGATATTTTTGTCCCAAAGTACCTACATAGGACTACTTGAATGCCAAAGCGGATACATGGACCCTTGGGGGTATACAGGTGTCTATCATCGTTCAGAGGTTGCTTTTTTCGAAGCCGGAGGGAAGACCAAGGTTCGGCAGGCGTTGATGGTTTATAGTATACTTGTAGTGTAATACACCCCAATTTTCCTGAAAGTTAGTGTTATAATTATAGTGTTTGTATAAAATACCCCAAAAGGCACCCAAAACTCCTTAAGGTTTCTAGTAATACCTATAGTCTCTATTGTAGTTCCCTTTTTTGGTTTAACCAATTATATATTGAGGATCCTAAAGGGTAACCCCAAAAAGGAACTACAGTGGAGACTGACTAGAGGTAATGACAGTGTTTGTATAAGATACCCCAACAGGCACTTATATCAGGGCCGCAAACTATCTGGTGAGGCTTCTGGGGCTGAGCATGAAGCCTAGGGAAGTCGCTGTAGAGATCAGCACTCTGGGAGATGTACGCAGGACTTTTGCTTAGGGTTTCGGATAGCTTAGGGTTGAGGGTTTAGGGTTTAGGGTTTAGGATAGTGTTTTGGGGTTTGGGGTTTGGGGACGAGGGTTTAGGACTTAGACGTAAGGGTTTAGGCTGATTCACGGTTCAGAGATTAGGGGCGCCTAGCAAGTTACTTTAGGACTGTACTGTTGGCGAAGCATGGAAGATTGCAGGCTCTGCATGTTTTACTGTTGGAGACCTGGGGATCGATCAAGGCTGGAGAGCTTCCTGTACCCAAATACTACATTCCGTGGCCTTAAAGTAGTCCCGATATATGTACTTTGGGGCCTGAGTATACTTTTTCCCCACCCTCGGTGTGGGGTTGTTAGACTTTAGTCAGCTATTACTCCTCGCGCTGAGATTACGTCCTGGAGTACCCAACCCCACAGACTACCGTGAGAATCCCTGGAGTGCCCAAGCCCACAGACTACCGTGAGAATCCCTGGAGTGCCCAAGCCCACAGACTACCGTGAGAATCCCTGGAGTGCCCAACTCCACAGACTACCGTGAGAATCCCTGGAGTGCCCAAGCCCACAGACTACCGTGAGAATCCCTGGAGTGCCCAAGTGCACAGACTACCGTGAGAATCCCTGGAGTGCCCAAGTGCACAGACTACCGTGAGAATCCCTGGAGTGCCCAAGTGCACAGACTACCGTGAGAATCCTTGGAGTGCCCAACCCCACAGACTACCGTGAGATTCCCTGGAGTGCCCAACCCCAACTTTGGAATCTGCCGGGGCCTCGCAGCCTCGAGGCTTAATTCATAATGCATCGGACTCGTTTGTCACAAGCAGATTCCACACGTACTCTTCTGTCATATTTTGTACAACATCTTCTGCTATGCACACACACACACACACACTTGCTCCACACCTAAACCCCCATCACAACGCGTGTGAAACATCAGCCCTACTCTTGCCGTGTTGGCCGCAGCATGGCGGCCCGCGGGTGGTACTTTAAAGCCTTTTCATATACTACATGGGCACACGGAGCCTTCGGCCCTAAACCCTCAAGCCCTAAACCCAAGAGCCCTAAAACCTTATACCCTAAAGCCCTAAAACCCTAAAGCCTAAAGCCCTGAACCCTAAACCGACCCAAACCTTATAGTATCCCTTATAGAACCCTTAAAGGACCCTTTAAAGGAACCCTATTCTAATTATTAAGGCCCTAAAGCCCTAAAGCCTAAACCTCTCTGTCAATGGTATTTTAAACTCTAATGACTTCGCCGCATAAGGCCAGCCCTTCGTCGTATATGGCCAACCCTTCGTCGTATAAGGCCAACCCTTCGTAGTTTAAGGCCACGCCTTCGTCGGCCAAGGAGAAACAAGTCCGCGTAACAAAATGGCGCTTCTGAGCCCCCATGTCCGCGACAATCGGCTAACAAATCCATTCCTAAGTGTAAGCGCAACAACGCAAACATCGGTTAACAAATCCATTCCCAAGAAAGTTTTACCAACAATCGGTTAACAAATCCATTCCTAAGTGTAGGTGCAACAACGCAAGCATCGGCTAAAACATCCACTCCCAAGTAAGTGCCACCAACGATAGGTTAACAAATCCATTCCTCGTACCCCAAACGCTGCCGTAACAGATCGGCTTTAGGCGGTTTAAGGTTTCGGCTTTAGGGTTGGTGCGCAGCCACCCATGGTTGAACCGCAAACTTGTGAAATCTTTCGCTTAGTGGTAATGCAGAACATGTGTCTGTTGTGCCTATTTAGCCACTTGGACAACTTTAAACTTATTGGCTTTATGTAATTGGTCTATCTTACAAAGTCTGAACTTTTTGGGGGCCTGGTTATTGGAAAAGAGAGTGTGTAGTTCCTGTATGATTTTGATGTATATTCATACAACGAACGATTACGTTAACGGCTTTTTCTCCGTGAAAAATCGACAGCGACATTTCGAAGCTATAGTTTAGTTTAAATTAGCGATGTTAATGTTGTGCTAACGTTCGGTGATAGTAGTTTTAAGATGTGAACGAATGTACAACTGTGTATTTTCTGAATGTTATGCTATGCCGTAAACACAACTCTACTTTAGAACTGCTCGATCCGGAGCTGCTGAACCCTAAACCCTAAACCCCTAAACCCTAAAGACTTAAACCCTAAAGACCTAAAACCCTAAAGCCCTAAAGCCTGAAACCTTAGACCCTCAAGCGTTAAACCCTGGAGCCCTGAAACCCTAAAGCCTAAAACCTTAAATCCTCAAGCCTTAAAGCCCCTTAAACCCTAAAACCCTAAGCCCTGAATTCTAAGACCCTGAAGCCCTAAAGCCCTAAACCTTAAAGCTCACCGGCACGTCTCTCTAACGCCTTGATGCCTTAGAGGAGTGACCCCGGCTGGTATACAATTTTGTACGGGGTCATGTTGAACATTCGTCACAAGTGTGCTATACTACATCCCGTATGGTTTCCAGTGCGTGCCATCACCAGTACTTGGTGGCCGAGGACGACAGGACGTTTAATCCGAATTCGTCCGAGAGAATGTCGGTCATATATGACCTACATTCTATATGCGGTACTTCGTGTCGAAACTTGTTTTTAGCATTTGGGATTCTAGTCGTAATTAAAAGGGCGGAAATCCAAACCAAATTTTTGCATGCCGGAACAGGCTTTCATGTCGAAGCCCGTGTTTTTAGGATTTGGGATTATAGTCGTAATTGAAATGCGGAAATCCAAACCAAATTTGTTCATGCCCGAGCAAATTTTCGATTTCGAAATTGCCGCTATTTGGATTTGTGAGTCTGGTCCAAATTAAAGTAACTGCCCGAACCGGATTCGCAACCCCCCCTCCTGCTTTCAGGGTCGAAACTTGGAAGTGTGGGTATGAACTTCTGGTCTTGCATTTCGGGTCGAAGCTTTCGGATCCGGGTTTGGGTGTCTGATCTAAACTTTAGGATCTGGGTTGTGTCGGTTTTCAGCTCGAATTTGGTGCGTTAGAGCAGGCACACACAAAGAAAGAGGGGTGCCTCGACCTGGGCACCCGGCCCTGGTTAAAATGCATTTTTTATCAGCAGAACTTAGTAAACCAAATCTGCCCACTCCGGATCGCAGGAAGGTTTCCAGACCCGGATTTTGGTTTCCGGATCGAGACTTTCGGAGTTAGCCCCGTGCTGAAACCTGTACTAGTTTCCAAATCTAAACTTTCGGATTCGAGTACCGGTTTCGGGTCGAAACTATCGGACCAATATCGGATCCAAAAATCTGTACTGGTTTCAGGTCGAAACTTTCGGTTTTGGATTCGGGCTCTGGTATGCAACTTTCGGGTTTGGGTTCCGGTGCTTTAGAGCGGGGACACACAAAGAAAGGGGGGGAGACCTCGACTTGGGCACCCGGCGCTAATTAGAATGCTTCTCTTTTCCAGATCGCAGGAAGGCAGGGGCCATCCAAAGCCTGATTGTCGGGGCCGAAAAAACTGTACTGGTTTCCAGGTCGAAATCTAAGCCAAAACAGCCCTCTCCAACACTCGTTTTCCATGTCGAAACTTTCAGATTTGGGTACCGAGCCGAAACACTGCTTCGAGTTGAACTTTCGATTCCGGGTGTTGGTTTCGGATCGAAACTTTGGGAATCCTAAACCAACCTAAACCTTATAGTATCCCTTTTTGAACCCTTAAAGGACCCTTTAAAGGAACCCCATGCTAATTATTAAAACCCTAAAGCCTAAAGCCCTAAACCCTAAACCAATTCAAACCTTGCAGTATCCCTTATAAAACCCTTAAAGGACCCCTTTAAAGGAACCCGATTCTGATTATTAAGGCCCTAAAGCCTAAAGCCCTAAACCCTAAGCCAACTCAAACCTTACAGTATCCCTTATAAAACCCTTAAAGGACCCCTTTAAAGGAACCCGATTCTGATTATTAAGGCCCTAAAGCCTAAACCCCCATAAGGCGAAGACTTCATTTTGGTCCACGCATCTCGGGCGACCGACGCGCTGCCACGCGGCCTGCGCTGAGCATCAAAGCCTATTCGGGTCTATACGCCCTAAACCGCTATAGTACACCTCTAGATCCCTTTGCACATCCTTTAGAGGAGCCTTGAAGGTCAAGAAAGGTAAACCCTTAAACCGTTACCTTAACCTTGAATAACCTATATACCCTTTTGGGTCTCCTTATTATGATTTCCTTATGTAAATCCTGAAAAAGGTAGGTCATTTGAGGTTAAGGTAACCACAAGTAGCAAGTATGCCTTAAAAGGATATGGGAACATTTCCGTTTTTTAAAGGTAATTACCTTGGTTACTCTGGGCATAAGGGACTTCGGGTGAAATGAGGCTTAGGAATTTGAGGGACTTAGTTCTCGGCTCTGTAAGGGTACAGGGACTCAACTGAAAGAGCATGTGCGTTTTGTCCAAGAGGACTTCGCGTGTGGTACAGTTATATTTTTAGGATCACGATGACTACTATATGATTACTAGTTTCAGCAGTTTTTCTATTGTCTGCATATTTGGGCCCGTCTTCGGGCTGTGAAGCAACATGGCCAAACTCTTATTGAATGTAATCAAACCCTTAGCCCCGCAAGGTCCTTGGTATTGTTATTGGGTATACTTTCCCAAATCATAATCCCAAACGGTCCAAAATACCATTATAGTAGAATGTAGGGTTTCTATAGTAGCAGTTACTATTATGATTTGGGGAAGTATCCCCCATAACAGTACCTAGGACCGTTTGGGAATAGTAATTCCTAGTATAGAAGCCCCACCCGCTACTACATAGGACTTTGGACCCTTTCTTTTGCAGCCGAAGGGCTGAGGAGCGCCCGACGGGACTTCGTCCGCTTGCTTGCTTGCCTAACCCCTAAACCCCATATGAAGTAGGGCTTATATTACCATTTTGGTGAGTGTAGATAGGGCTCCTTTTGAATTTTGGTGAGTGTACGTATTGGGTTTTATTATGGGGATACTAGTAGTATAAACCATACTCTATATGAAGCATCAACATTAACTCCTGAACCCAAATTCCATAAAATCCCTAAGCTCCTACTCCACTTGACTCCTCGCCCAAACCCACTGAGAAACCTAGGCTTGCTCCCTGCCGGAATGCAAAGATGGCCTGGCTCCCAGAGCTTCTGAAATTCATGTGTTCAGGGTTAAGGGCTTAGGCTCTAAGGACTCGGCTTTTTACGATATTTTGAGGCGTTTGGACCTTGCCATGTGAGGCTTTCAGGTTTTTTTGAGCCTTCCATTTAATAATTTAAGAGCCTCGAGCTATGGGTCTCTTGCTTTTTATGCTTGTTTGTTTGAAGGGGGAGCCTTACAAGGAGGATCCTACTGCTGTTCGGGGAGTAGTTGGGTCGCAGGCCCGGCAGCAAGAAACATGCTCAGAGACTCCTTGGACCCTCACCCCCAAACCCGGTTTAGTGTTTAGGGTTTAGGGATCCCGAAATCCTGAACCAAAAGCCCAAAGCCCTAAACGGTATTATGCCTAAGTCTTTAAAGACCAGGCACCCGGATCATGTTGGATTGATGGTAGAAAACCTGTGCAGACGCTTTGAGGGCACTGGCCCAGACCGACTCCGGCCTTTAACCCTCAAGTCGTTAACTCTGACCCTAAATCCCGAACCCGAACCCTTGAGCCTCTGGCCCGTCAAAAAGCCGTAACCAACCCTAAACCCCTAAACCCTTAAACCCCTAAGCCCTAAACCCTTAAGCCCTAGACCCTAAACCCCTAAAACAAAAACCTTAAGCCCCAGACCCTAAACCCTTAAATCCCTAAACCCTATACCCCTGAACCCTAAACCCGAAGAGAGAAGGACTTGAACAAGTTCTCCGACTTGGCAGAGTCAGCCTTACAGGCTGAATATCGGTTACATGAGTTTACATGGGATGGTTTCGGGCTTTGGAAGTATGAACTATGTTCAGCCGGTTCAGGGCTGCTTTCTGCAGCTGGAGAGTTGTCAGCAAGGTGAGTGCTGAGCAAGCCTGGATGAGCAGGATTGTTGCCGGGGATTTGCTTTCAGTATTTAAGTCTTCCTCTTGGAGTTAAGGCAGTACTGGTAGGAATTGGGACAGGTTTTCTAGCCAAGTATCCGAAACTCCCTAGCCGATGGTGTGGGGCTTTGTATTCGGGCTCCCGCATACTCTGAAGCTCTGACATGGTTCCGTAACCTCAGTTTGAAGTTTAGGGCCGTTTAGGGCCTTGAAGGATTTAAATTCGCGCCGTCTTGTTGCTCGCTCTCTCTCTCTTTCTCTCTTTCTCTCTCTCTCGCTCTCTCTCTCTCTCTCTCTTTCTCTCTTTCTCTCTCTCTCTCGCTCTCTCTCTCTCTCTCTCTCTCTCTTTCTCTCTCTCTCTCTCTCTCTCTCTCTCTCTCTCTCTCTCTCTCTCTCTCTCTCTCTCTCTCTCTCTCTCTCTCTCTCTCTCTCTCTCTCTCTCTCTCTCCGCAGGTGGCATACATGTGTGTTGAGATGTCATCAAGTATTATCAACCTCGCTATTGTGACATGGTCTTAACATTGGTAATCTTTGGGTCTATGTATATATACAATACTTATGTACACGGGTACACGTACATGCCACAGTACATAAGGCAGGCGGCATCCATGCGTTAGTGCCGTTAGTGATGCCGTTAAGTCCAGACATTCGCCTTTGGGTGGCGCTGTGTGGTCTCGGCCTTTGGTGGCCAGTCTTGTCTGGTTTGGCTCCCCTAAAGGCTCCATGTACCCATATAATATGGAAGCCTGAACTATAATTACAATAAGGAACCCTAACAATTAATATTGGTTGTTATTAATAACAACCAATATTAATTGTTAGGGTTCCTTATTGTAATTATAGTAGAAGATGCCCCAGAACCCCGGTCTGATAATTAAGGCCCCTATATTGGTGTATTTGCATTGGCCCCCAAAGAACCCTAAGCCCTATAAACCCCAAAGTATCTACATAAGGACCCCTGAAAGGCTTAAGTGGGCACATGGAGGTTTAGGCTCCAGAAAAAAGGATTCACACGGGGTTGATGATTAACATAGGGGCCTTGATGATTAGAATAGGGTTCCTTTAACTTTAAGGGGTTCCTTGAAGGGCTACTATAAGGCGTACTATAAGGGTACTACAGTATAGGGGCCTTGGTCTTGGGGGTATATTATACTGAAACTATAACAAGGACCCCCCCAAAAAATAGTATAGGTAGTCATTAAGGCCCCTGTATTACTAGTAGAGCTAGGGTCGACAAGTTAGTGGTAGTTGCAGAGTGAGGCTCCTGGGGTCTCTAGCATGATACTGCTGTATTAAAATAGGGGCCTAAATAAGTAACCCTAAACCCTAAACCCTAAACCACCTTTACTCTTGTAGCGGTTCCTGTTTTGGAGTTATAGTATACTGGGCCCCAAAACCTTGGTCTAACTATCAAGGCCCCTATATTAAATCCTGAACACGAGTCTGCTGCATACCCAGCCTAAGCCCGAAATGCCAGAAGCCCTCAGCCTCAACACTAAAGTAAACCTAGCCAACCCTAAAGGGTCCAAGTACCTCAATAATAGGGTTTCAAGGTCCAAAAACCATTCAGAGAATGGATTTGGGGATCTGGGGGCTTAAAACCTTACTATTTGGGTACTCGGACCCTCTGGGCTAGCTAACCCTCGATGCATCGTACGTGCGGCGCGCCAGGCAATCTCGGAGAGGCGCGGGGTGTTCTGCGTGGCTGACTTGATGATGCTTAGGGTTCAGGGTTTAGGGTCCTGTGTTATGCTAGGTACCCGTAAGTACTGGACTTCGCAGCATATACCTGGCTGCGTGTAATGCAGCATGTTGTCCAGCTGATGCTGATGACTCGTGTCATTTGAGAGTTGCATTAGTCAAAGCTGCAGCAATAGCAGTCACTGGTGCGTGCCACCGGCACTGCCATGGCAACAGCACGAGTCCTCCCGCAGATAGGCACAATCCTGCACTGCCTGAAGTACACAAAAGTACGAAAGGCACCTGGAATCATTGTGGCTGTAAGGCTGCACATATTTTCAGGCTTTTGCCCAAAGACCTTATTATGTAAGGCTTTTGGGCTATTCTGAGCCCTAGGGTCCGTATTGTATTGTGCATGGTTCTGCCCATCACTTGTGCGAAGGCTGTCTGCCTGGACCTTGAAGTCGCAAGGTTCTGATACGACATCGCAGGATTTACCGAAATAATGTAGGGGCCTTAATAATTACCTATACTATTCTGGGGGGTTCCTGATTATAATTATAGTATCATGGGCTCCAACACCCCATTCTACTTTTTAGGGCCCCTACATTAGACAGTTCATAGAAATCGGGGACCCTAAACCCTAAACCCCTAAACCCTAAACCAGGCAGCTGAGCCTTGGGTTTAGATGCAAGCCCCTCCCGGGCTGCACATGCTGAAAGGTATTCTGAGGCCTAGCCTGAGGCCCCACAGCCGGTACACTGCAATTTTTCTCAAAACTCTTCAATCCTTACAAGCCTCTGAATCCTGGTAGGGAAAAACATAAGCATAAGCATGTTACAGCAAAAAAACCTACCCTGTTGGGTTTCATCACAAGGTGGTTTATGTGGCATATATCCCTATCCTGACTTCTGCTTACGTGCCTTTGGGGGCCCAGCTATTGCAACTCTTGTAGAAAGGCCTTACAGAACCCTCACCCTACACTTGCCCAGTGGCTGGGAAGAATTGGTGGACGCCGTCGCCTACGGCGATTGCGCCCGCAGCTTCCAGCTCCAGCCCCAGCCTACAGAAAGTGGTGGGGATCTAGGGGGTTTAGATATATTGTTCTGTAAGGGGCCGGTGAGGGTTCTCTATAGGGTTGAGGGGCAGGGGGTCAGGGTGCTGGGGTTTGGGGGTTTAGGGTTCTGGTCTCGAGGGTTTCGGGTTTGGAACACCCATGGAGCCCAATGCAGCTTAACCTCACTGCTTAGACTAGAAAACGGCCTAGGTTTGATAATTGTCTGCAAAGAGCATCCTAGCTGTAGAAGTCTTGTGGGGAAAGGGGTCGAGCGATCCCTTGCCGGGTTGCATCGTGCCTAAAGCGCTGAAATCGATCATCCGATGTTTCAAAACAGCCGCTGCAGCAATTCTTCGAGTTGGCGTTCCTGCACAACCGCAGAGAAGTCGAATAAGCCAAAATCGTCACAACTCTGCTCCGGTCATGACGGTTCCCACATCAGTGTAGTTGATGTGCCCTTATATGCCAAGCCTTGCTTGCAGTAAAAGTGACTACTTAGCAAGTTTATCGCTTAGGCTTAGGTCGTATGTAGACTGGGAAGTTGCATGACACATACACAATACGGTACTTGCTCATCTTCTCGTAGCCTGCTTACTCAAGTCGCCACCTCCCTAACCGCAAACCCTTATCTAGAACACTGCGCACTCTGAACCCTTTAAATCCTTTGCGGTGCACCTCTGAGGACTCTCCAGGCTGTGCCGCACCTTGGCTTGGCTGTATAGGGAGCTGCAGATTGAACAGGGGGTAGGTTTAGGGGTTAGGGTCTAGGGTTCAAGGTTTAGGGTTTAATTAAGGTTAAGGGTTCAGGGTTCCGGGTGTCAACATCATGCGAAGGGGTGCTTCGGGGGTGACCCGCAGAGCACGATTTCGGGGTTTAGTCGGGACTTGTTTACAGGAGCACCAAATCGGGATCGGGTGCCTTCAATAGTAGCTGCTCATGGCTATTGTCTTGCGTTTGTGAAACCCCGTTCACTTTGTGTAGCCAGCACCTGCATTTGCCCAGGAATCCACCGCCGGCTCCGAAATATGCGACTCGGACAGAGCAGAAGCGTTGCTCTCACGTAGTGGAAACATATCCCGTTTGTCTCTCGGCTTCTGTGCAATTCCCATAAAACACACACACACACACACCAGATCTCATTCTTCGTATCTCTATTCCTGTGCCTTTGTACGAGTCCTACACTCCTTAACTGTAGCCCCAAACGAAAACAAAAGCAACCCTGGATCCCGATGCCCCTCTCTCTCTCTTCTCTCTCTCTCTCTCTCTCTCTCTCTCTCTCTCTCTCTCTCTCTCTCCCTCCCTCCCTCGCTCTCTCTCTCTCTCTCTCTCTCTCTCTCTCTCTCTCTCTCTCTCTCTCTCTCGTTCGCTTTATGGCTTTCGCGACACGTCCGTATTCCGGGGTCTTTGCAGCCTGCAGTCAAGGTGTTTTGGCCCCTGAGCTCGTCAACCTGAATCAGAGAAGCTAGCTGTATACGAAGACCATAGATGCAAAACCCAAAATCGCTGCACCCTACACCATAGAACCCTAAACCCTAAAAACTAAACCCTAAACCAGGCCCTACACCATAGAACCCTAAACGTGCATTCCGAGGACAGCTTGCCGCTCATGGAAGATTCGGAGGCCGTTGGACGGCATAGAACTTCTCAGCCCTGAGGCTTCTAGGGGATGTGTTTGTTGTTAGGGTTTAGGGTTTAGGGTTTAGGGAAGGCCTCAAGAATTACCAATATTATTTTGGTGGTTCCTTATAATCTACAGTATAACGAGCCCCAAGACCCTATTCTAATTATTAAGGCCCCTATATAGGGTTTAGGGTTTATAGGGTTTAGGTTGAGGGCCTTGGTACCGGATCCTGGCATGTTTTTTTTGAAAACTTGAGGCAAATGACACAGGGTGTAGGGGCCGGGGTTTAGGGCTTTTCGGGCTTTAGGGTCCGCCTTGCAGATCCGCCCCCCCCCAGACTCTCGGCCCCCAGACTCTGCCCTGCAGATCTTTGCTTCCAGCTTTGTTACGGCTTACATACCCAAAGGATCCCATGTACTGTTATGGGGAATACTTCCCCAAGTCATAATAGTAATTCTGAATATCGAAGCCCTACATTCTACTATAAAGGTACTTACAGTAATTCCTAGTATAGAAACCCTACATTCTACTATAAAGGTACTTAATTCCTAATATAGAAACCCTATATACATTCTACTCTATCGGTACTTTGGGGGACCCTTTGGGGTAGAAGTCCTGCCCTGATCCATCCTGGGAACCTTACCGGGTGCAAAGCCTAAACTACCACCTGAACCATTGGACCATTGCTTTCTTTTTTTTTGGGGGGGGGTTAAGGTTTATAGGGCTTATAGGGTTTATAGGGTTTATAGGGTTTCTAGGGTTTATAGGGCTTATAGGGTTTATAGGGTTTAGGGTTGAACCATTGCTTCTTTTTATGGGTGGGCTTGGAGCGTCCAAGGTTGGGTTTCGAGTACGGGGTTCCCACTTAGAGTCTGAGAGCAGACAGAGGTCCTTGTTTCGGGTATACATGGACCCCAAAAGTAGGTAGAATAATCGCCTTTTATATGCTTTGGGCCATTATTTTACCTAGTTTTGAGGGTCTAGGTAAGGGTTTTGGGGCCGTTCTAGGGCCGTTCAGGGTTTGGGGATGTTTTGGGATTTAGGGTTTCGGATTGCGGGTTTAGGCTCGGAGGCGAAGACCCAAATCTTTTCTTTGCATTCTTCAAGCGAAATACTATAGGGGCCTAAATCATTACCTGTAGTATTCTGGGGTTCCTTATTATACTTATAGGATCATGGGCCCCAAAACCCTATTCTAATTATTAAGGCCCCTGCATTAGATTCGGAGTTTGAGGTCTCTGGGTGCGGAGCTCCAAACTGAAGCTTTGATCGATCCTGAAGCTTGCTTAAGCATTTAGGTCCTGTTGTAGCTCGGAGTTTAGGATTTTCAGACGGAGTTGAAGATGGTAGAGTAGCTGTATGGGTGTTTCCGAACATAAGGACCCTAATATAGTACGCTAAATAGTAGGATCCTCATTATAAGGACCCCAAAATAAGTTTTCGCGAAACTCCCATATAGGCTTGCAAACGACGGCCGAACTCACGCATCTCACAAGCCTCACAGCAACTAGACCCTGTGCAAATCCAAAGCCTGTGCAAGCTTTAGATTAGAAGACCTGCAGCCAGGGTAAAGCCGTACACCTTATACTCAAAACCTTAAGCCTGAACTGATTGACCAAAGTTCTAGTGTCCGGCATAACAACAATGGAACTTTCCTATATAAAGCCCTACCTTACATGTCTGAATAATTACGCAAGTTAATCACGACGGGTCCTTAGAATGTTTATACTATGCTGTAATCGTATCCTAACTTTGCATTCGCTTGTATCATCACGGTCCTTATCATCAGATGTCCCAGCGCTTCCAAGGAGCTCAAGCCCCTGTTGGTCAAGCTTCGGAAACTCGTGGGACTCAGTACCGTCAAGGAGGCCACCCTAAGAATTTCCTAGTGTTGAGGATTTCAAACCCTATAGACCTAATGCAATAAGGCCTTATAGACTGTAGGAAGTCGACGGTTCAGGGTTGTAAGAAGAAGCCGTCAATGCATGAATAGATCTGGCTGCCTGTTTCGGAGAGGCCTTGCTGCATGTACTCGTATATGCTGCGATGGTGTCAGGGTCGAAAGCTACAGTGGAGCCAGAAGCACCCCCCGTTTAGGTTTGTGTGCTTACAAGGCTTACAACTCTGACAAAAAGCCCACAATACTTGCTTACTAGCCTGGGCCTGCAAGTACTGTGATTACTGTGAGGGTCGAAGTCCTTACTTGGTTGTTGGTTCGAGGGGTTGAGGGGCTGGGGGCTAAGGTCCAGAGTTCAGGTGTTTGTACTGTGTCGGCATTTTAAATTGAGGATTTAGACAGCTGCGTTTGGTTTCGACAGTTCAGGGTGGATCGAAATAGTTATGCTGTCCCTGTTTCAAGGTTGAGGTGAAGGGTGTAAAGATTGCTCATGGATTTCAGAGATGAGGTGTTGAGGTTCTTGGCTAGCTCCGCGCATAGAATCTGTACACGTCGCCAAAAGCCCTGAATCGAAAGTTCTAAGTCCTGGGCTGCAACCCCAAAGAAGCGATCCCTAAACTTAGGGTTACTTAGAAATAATTTTAAAATGTTGGTTATTATAATCCCTAAGAAACAGCTAAAATTACAATTTTTGCTAGGGTTCTAAGTTCAGTATAGTAAGCTCCAGACGGTTTCGTAGCCCTTGCGCCACAGAAGCTCTACTCTCTCGATGCCCGATGCCCGATCAGCCAGCGTCAAGCCTCGAGCCCGACTTTGAAAGATCCTAATGTAGGGGCCTAAATGATTACCTATACTATTCTGGGGGCTCCTTATTATAATTACAGTATAAAGGGCCCCAAGACCTTATTCTAATTATTAAGACCCCTACAGATTCCTAGACTACGGTCATAGGTTTCAGGGCTTAGGTTTTAGGGTTTGATCCTAGACAGATCACAGAGATGAAAGCAACAAGCCCCTGGGGTCTATGTAGCCAAATAGTACATACCTTGGCCGTAAGTAAGACCTATAGGTAATTCAGGGCCAAAGTAACCAGGGTCTATGGAGATGATCAGCTCTACCCCTTTAACCAATGGTTTCAGCATTTCAGGAGTTCGGATTTCAGGGATTGAGGCGAGGTCATTGTGCGCTTCAAGGGCAGGGGCTTGAGGGTTCGCTCTCGATGTTTGGCAGGATGGGTTTGGGACTAGCCTTGGCCCTAAATCAATTCTCAAACCCTACCTCAACCCCCAGTAGCCTTCCTTTTTGACCTCCCTCGTGTTTCTTTATATAATGGACTCAGTTAAAGGTCCCTAAAAACGCTAGAGGTCCCTAGCCTAAAAGGCCATGGGGAAGCTGTTCGGTCTCGTGAAGCTCAGCACTTGGCGGACGAATCTCGGGATGTCTTCTTTGGAAGGCACGGGGCCTGTAGGCGCATAACCTACCCCTTTTTTAGGGTATGTACTTTTCTATATAACAGATCCTTACCATAAAACGAATACATTATCTTCGACTTGGACATGTTGCAGACTTGTGGCGGGAGTTCAGGCTGATTTTGGAATACACATGCGATATGTGATAAGGGCGGTTGAAGTGATGCGAAGCATATTCGGACGAGTGTTTGTGGGTCAGTCGTACCACACCTGTGTAAGAGCTACAGGCGAATTTGCTGTGCCTTCAAGAAGTGGTTTAAGGAACTTTGAAGGTATCGACCGGCTGTGGCTTCTACGGTGAGGTTTGTGAGTTTAGCATTAAAGGTTTCGTGACTCCCGTGCAAATTGGGGTTTACATTTTTGGACGAAGGTGGATGCAAAGCCAAAGTTCTGGTTCTTCAGTTGGGATCATGCGGGACCCTGATTCAGAACTCGTGTTCCAAAGCCCCAGACTAGGTGGATCCATATGGGTGGCTGGTTGTCAAAATTAGGTACAGGTAGTGTTCCTTCTGGGTCCTTGATATAACACGCCACCTATTATTTACGGTATATTCCCAAAAAGGGACCCCTATTTGGACAACTACCCATATGCCTACGGCCTACTAGAATCAGGGGCTTCATAATCAGGATCTTACTTGAAGCTCTCTAAACCCTGACCCAGTCCCAAATTTGAATAAGATGGGAGCCTCAATATTTAGAATAGGGTTTTGGGGTCCATTGTATTGTTATAATAAGGAACCACCCAAATAGTATTGGTAAGTACTTGGGTCCCTATATTATGAGACAACAGGAAGGTCTTGTGGAGACCTGCACCTGAGAATAGTGTGGGACTTGACGGGTCCCAGCCCTAAACCCTAAACCGGCTCAACCCCATGGACCCTAAGCCCCAAAGTTTAGGACCAACCCAAGTCCATAGTGTTTCGGGTTTAGGGTGCCAGTCGCGATTGGATCTTTGACGCCAGGTCAGTCCTTTCACATGCGCAGCTTGGTGGAAAGATGGTTCAGGGTATAGGGCTTGGGGTTTAGGTGGTGAGATGCAGAGAGGTCGCAACGACATATATACTTATGTAGCATAGTCAAACATGGCTGTTGTTTCTACTTTTGCTTACTGCTACTGCTACGGCGCTAACCTACCACTCTACCACTACTGCTTCATCGACGACGACTACTACTACTACTACTACCACTACCACTACCACTACCACTACCACTACTACTACGACTACTACGACTACTACTACTACTACAACAACTACTACGACGACTACTACGACGACGACTACTACTACTACTACTACTTCTACTACTCTCCTACTGCTATTGCTACTGCCCGTGAAGTGCACCCTATATCCCGAAGGGTCCATGTGGGGGTTCTTTTAAGGGTTCCATAAGGGTAAGTTCCACAGGGATTTGAGGCTTAGGGTACCATATAGTAGATGCTTTACATTAATTAAGGCCAAACCATTTTCCACTCGGATACATGGACCTTTGAGGCTATATGCTAGGAACCAGAGTAAGCCCTTATTCCCTTTCTGGGGGCTCAGGTTCCTTTACAACACCCTTTAAGCCAAAAAGGGCACCCTCTTCTTCCGAGGTTACTCCCTAAACCCTAGGCCCTAAACTCTCTTAGGTCTAATATGTCTTGGCCTCAGCCGAAGGTCCCATGCAGAACATGTGCGAAGTATCGTTCCGTTTTGCAAGATTTGCAAGAGGACCATGTTCCCCTGCATCCAGGTACTTGTGTATGTATATGTTTTTTATGCAGGTATGTTTGATATTTCGAAGAGTGTATGTCCGCTTCGTCTATAACATTTTTGCTTACATATGCATGCAGTGCTCATGTATGCAGACTTGATTAACTATAATACATATATATGTATATATATATATATATACACATATGTGTATATATATATATATATATATATATATATATATATATTCGCACGCATGTGTATGTATATGTACATGTATGTGTATATATATGTATATGTATATGTATATGTGTATGTCTATGTATATGTATATACATATTCGGAGATTCAACTGTACCTATTTGTTTATTTGTTCACAAAATTGCAACCCTAGTGCTTGCACTCTGAAACGGAGGCCCTCAGAACCACTGGTGTCCGCAGCCTGTGAGGTTTCTTGGGCAATCCTGGCACCGGGAAGACTGTGGTTGCCCGCATCGTGGGAGAGATGATGGTCAGCTGACTGAGATCAGGAATAAGAACTTTTTGTTTATGATAGCAATGATAGCAATGATAGTATTGGTTGTAATAATGATAATGGGTGTGGGGCACATACACCGAGTCAAAAGTCTAGGCCAGGCAACCGTATTCGTTTCGAAAAGCAAGGAGGACATGCATTGTGACTGTTGTGTCCATTTCTAACTTGACCCTGTGCAGCTTGTGCTGTTAACCGGAAAAGGCATCTTTGCACCCGTGTATGCCTAGCTGTGTTTAGGCCTCGTCATGCCATTTGCGGCTGGTGTACACTGTAAGTCGTTCGCGCGCGTCTCTGTGTGTTTCTCTGTGTGTCTGTCTGTGTGTCTCTCTGGGTGCCTCTGTGTGTCTCTGTGTGTCTCTCTGTGTGTCTCTCTGTGTGTCTGCCTGTGTGTCTCTCTGGGTGTCTCTGTGTGTCTCTGTGTGTCTCTCTGCGTGGCTCTCTGTGTCTCTCTGTGTCTCTTTGTGTCTCTCTGTGTCGCTCTGTGTCTTTTTGTGTCTCTTTGTGTGTCTCTCTGTGTCTCTGCGTCTGTCCGTCTGTCCGACAGTCCGACCGTCTGTCTGCCGGTCGACTGGCCGTCTGGTCCCTCGGTCCGTCGGTCGTCCGTCGGTCTGTCGGTCTTGCCAGGCGAAGCGTATAAATTGTCTGCACATCTCAATCGTCAGGTGAAGATGGGTGTGGTGGCCATGCCAAAGGATCAGAAGAAAAAGCTGGAGGCAGAGGTGACCCCTCTGCAACCATGACTTCAGAGTCTAGGATTCCAAGTGACAGCGATTAAACAGTGATCTGAGAGTCATGCATCTATTATAGGGGCCTTAATAATTCGATCAGGGTATTGGTGCCCATTACTACACCTAGAACCGGGTATTAGTAGTTCTTTCGGCCCCCATATTAAGGGAATGGTAAGGGCCTGTTTGGTGTCTCACCAGAGAAGCCCTAAACCTGACTTTGCAGAGGAAGTGCTTGGTGCTTCCGACACAAGTCGCTGGATGTCGCAAATCTCTGACCCTTTTGGGTTTAGGGTTTAGGGTTTATACCCTCTTTGAACCCAAAGCCCCAGACCCAGTGCGATGTTTCTCACAGCCAAAATCATTCTGAGCAACCGCTATGCAATATCATTCCTTACGGTTCCTCATTAGGTTTTTCCACCATGTAATTACTACTCAAAACCTTTTTCGAACCATGAAGGCACCAAAACCTTAAGCAACGGTTGATGATATTAATCCTGCATGATCTTAAGGGCCCTAAACTATGGGAATTATGGTATATTCCGTATTATCGGTAATGCAGGATTTATATCATCAGCCGAACCCTAACCCCTAACCACCAAGCCTCAAACCCCAAACTCTTCAGCCCGCATCTCTACTCCAAAGCCTAGGCTACACATTGAGCCTTAAACCCTGTACCCCAAGCCCTTTGGCAGTTTCCGATAGTTAGGGGGACCTTGTTTTGGGGTCCTTGTATTTAGGATTCTACTATTTAGGGTGCGATTTTACGGTCCCCTACTTTCGGAAACTCCCATATGTTGCTCGGCGGGGCAGGCGAGGAACCGAAGCAAGGAAGCGGGCCACGAAGTTCCCACTGAGCTGGTCTTCCGTGAGGCATCGAGTATGGCTCAGGGTTTGGGGTCTGGGGGTTGGGGGTTTAGGGTGGGGCTTAGGGCTTAGGGTTTAGGGTTTTAGGTTTCACGCTCTAGGGTTTAGGTTTTAGGGGAGCAGTATTACAGTAAAGGTGTCTTTGCGGTTTTGATATAACACTCACCCACCCAAGCATCCCATAACAGTAAGAAAATACACTTAAACCATATAGGTCGGCTCAACAGCTTCTATTCAACAATAACCTTTCTACTTTGGTTCGCATTGCTATTCGCGAACTAGACTACTGTTTTGGGGTTTGGACTATTACTTTGAACTTCCGAAAGTTGGTTTAGGGTTCGAACTACCGGAGCCTTAAACGGACCCTGAACGAACCCTAAACGGGAACCCTAAACAGATCCCTAGACGGAGGGAATCCGAAAAAGGAGCACTAAAAGGAACCCTAAACGGAAACTTTAACGGAGGGAATCCTAAACGGAACCTTAAAAGGAACCCTAAACGGAAAGAATCCCAAGCGGAGACCTCAAAGGAACCTTAAACGGAACCCTAAGCGGAGGGAATCCTAAACGGGACCCGAAATAGAACCCTAAACGGAACCCCATACGGAGGGAATCCTAAACAGAACCCTAAATGGAGGCAATCCTAAACGGAACCTTGGAGTCTCGGCCTTGGTCTACCTTTGGTTAGTAGGGAATGGAAGAATGGTAGTAATAGTAGTTATAATTGTACCCCATTCCTCCATTCCCTACTAACCAAAGGTAAGGTTTCGGCCTTGGTCGACGAAATCATCAGGGTTTGAATTCTACCTATAGTCTCCATTGTGGTTCCTCTTTGTGGTTTAACCAATTTTATAGTAAAGGTCTTACTAGGTAACGACAAAGAAGATCTGCCATGGAGACTATAGGCATCGCTGGTATAATATGAAAGAGAGGTTTAGGGTAGGGATGGGTAGGGCTTAGGGTGTAAAGAGATTGGGTTGAGGGGTTTGGGGTTTAGGGCTAGGGGTTTGAGGTTTCGGGGTGTTGAGGGTTGAGGGCTCAGTGGGTTTTCCAGATTTTAGGATTAGGGGTCCCAGGGTCGGGGTGCATGGGGGCAACTGGCAAAAAAAGGGGTCAGTTGTTGGGCTCGGGGTTCGCAAGTGGAGGACTCTTGGTCGGCAGGCACGCGATATTTTGTGTCTTCAGTGTATTCGGATCCTTGGAGATCTTTGGCCGATGTTCCCGGCGCTGCCTCTCGGAGATCTTTGTGGTCTCGTTGTGTTGTGTTGAGTTCGGCAAAGCAAGACGAGGAATGAAGACAAAGGCGAAGTCTTGAGAAGCCCTGATGCTTGATGCCGGTTCTGCAGAGAATACATACATGCAGGCAGGATCGCCTCAGGGGCATGCGTGCCTGCTGATGGTACAATCCTGCTTGCCTGTCAGCAACAAGGGCTCCTGATTCAGATCAACCCGTTTTGCCCAAAGAACAGCACCTACAGGGAACTCCAGAAAGTTGGAATATGGATTAATGGTAGGATCCCCTATTTACCATAAAGGGATTATGATAATGATATTCCAACTTTCTGGCTTCTACTGTAAATCCCAAAAATGCCACACTCAAAACCCAAAGTCAAACTCCTAGCCCAAAACCCTAAAGCCGAGGCCGTAAACCCTCCTAATTAAACCCTAGACCCCAAGTCCTAGAAGCAATACTTCCCCAAGTTTACCCTAAACCCCAAACTCTAAACCCCAAGCCAAACAGTATTTCCCCAACTTTGTGTCGAGGCCAGTCGCGCCGACTTGGTCGCCCAATATCTGGGGCAGACTGCTCCCAAGGCCCATGACGTAGACGTGAGGGTTCGTTTGCAGGGTTATGTCAGGGGTTCCTTCAAAGGGCTCCATAAGTTGTTGCTTCGAAGGCTTCTATAAGGGGATCCCTTAATGGGTTCTGTAAGGTGTTCTTTGTCATCACGGGGTTCCTTTAATCGATTGCCTTGGAGACTTCATGGTTTGTGGCTTACAGGTTCCGCATAGGATTAAGGTTTTGGGATGTGGGGGCCCTGGAAGACAGTCCTGGGGGCGCATGTACCTGTATGATATATACATTTTACCTACCATCCACATATGGCAACCCCGGTATGACCAAAGTATACTAGATATGTACACGGTAAAGATCTGGTGAAAGGTTTGGCGTCGAGCTTCGGGCCCAGTGCTGGAACCCTGATCGAGAAACTACATGGGTCTTTGTGAAGGTTCTTAACATGAATCCGAAGATCTTGAGGTTATAGGGCCAGGTTCCTCCATAAGTGACTTAAGACCCCCTTAAGCCCCAATAACATTCCTTTTTTGGCTTCCTTAATATGATTTCCTTCTATACGTCCTTAAAAAGGCAGGGTATCCCGGGTTCAGGTAAAGCCTAAATCCTAAACCCTAAAGCCTAAATCCTAACCCTAAATCCTAAACCCTAAATCCTAAACTCAAGGCCTAGGCCGCCCACCTTCGATGGTGGGCGGCGCTTAAGCCCCTCGACATCGACGATGGCGCAGGTCGATCCAGGACGCTCGCCCGCCGTCCCACAGCCAGTACTGTAGCACCCACGTTAGGCCCGGTATCGGTCCCCGGACCAGTACTGGTCCCTATTAAAGTCATTACCCTAAACCTGCTACCCGAAATCCTGGCTTGGAAGCTCCAGCGAGCAGAGCCCCCCCTTTCCTGGCACCCTGGCCTCCCTGACCCGCCCTGGCCCCCCCTTTCGTCTGGCCCCGCCTGGCCCCCCCTGGCTCCCTCTGGCCCACCTCCTGCCGTACTCTCCCCTCCTCTGCCCTGCTTTTTTTGAGCTTGGCTGCAGAATTGTGTGGTTGTTGTTAACCAATATGGACCTAACAGAGTTTAGGTCCTAAACCCTAAAAGGTATAGGTTTGGGTGGTTTGCCGCCTCAGACGGCGTGGGGTGGGTGAGTTATGTGATGGCCTGCCACAGTCGGGCCATGTCTGCGATTCGCAGGCAACAAAACCGCTAATAAATCCTACAATCCCTGTTACACTACCGCTACGCAATCTTGCAGCAAACCCTACCCTAAACTCTAAACCCTAAACCCTAAACCCTAAACCCCAAACCCTAAACCCTAAATCCTAAACCCAAACCCTCAGCTTTGGCAGTTCCCAATCGCAAGCTCAGAGGCGCTGGAGAGCCTAAGCCGAGCGCGGGACTCCCGAAGAGCTAGAAATCTCGGTTTAGGGTTAGGGTTCAGGATTTAGGGTTTAGGATTTAGGGTTTAGGGTTTAGGGTTTAAGCCCTAGAAGCAAAGGGGACAAGGAGGGACCTCTACCCTACAATGGGCTATAGAATAGGTATATAATGGCTATAGTTAGGGTATAATATACCTAGAGGTCCTTATCAAGGGTCCCTCCTCTGACCCTTGGATAGAAATCTTTGTCATACTGTGGATGGACAATATCCTGCATGACCCAGTATAAGGAATTTACCATGATGCTAATCCTATCCCAACAATGAACTAGAAATCCTAAGTGTCCAACGGCTGACAGAATAATATAATAGGGGCCTGAATAAGTACCAATACAATTTTGGGGGGTGCCTTATTATAGTTATAGTATAATGGACCCAAAGCCTATTCTAATTATTAAGGCCCCTACATTATACACATTGGCCCTTGACCCTGAAATAGCAATATAGGGACTACTTGAAGGCCACAGTATTGCACAGTATGAGCACATGGACCCTTATGCTCTGAACTCCTAACCCCTGAACCCTTGTGTCGGCTACCTTTATGGAACCCCTAAAGCCTTAAGGGTCCATGTCCCCAAACAGTATATTACACTTAGGCCCCAAAGTACCGATATAGGGACTACTTTAAGGCCAAAGTACATACTATTTGGGTACATGGACCCTTAGGGTAAGGCCTTGAGGTACATGGACCCTTACTCACAAGGCTTGCCCTTGAGAAGATGCCTTGCAACTCAAATCCAAAGCCGTGAGACCTCCACTCTGTACAAGGAAGGCCTGGATAGTATAAGGGCCTTAATTACCTAGATTTTTTTGGGGAGGGAGGGGGTCCTTCTTATAGCTATAGTATAAGGGCCCCCAAGCCCTATTCTACCTATTAAGGCCCCTATAGTACTTAGCAATACTCTTCTCAGGGCTTGTGAAAGAGATACAATGCTCTACCAGAAGATTCTACATGTACTGATACGATTCCTTGGATTGTTCAAGAAAAGCATTGTGGATGAAAAGTAAAAGTTTGTGTTTCGGTGTAGGACTTAGCAACAACCAATCCTACTCCAACAACTCTGCGCATATGTCGCTTTGCGGTTTCTAGCTTTTGGGCGACAATCCTGCCCCAATAACTTTACACCTACGCTGTTAAGGGCTTTAAGATACGATTTGGCAAAACCCCATCCTGCCCCAAAGGTACGCCCTAAACGCTTAACCCTACACCTGCGCAGGTCGAGAAGGCCGTGGAAAATGCACTGGGTGGTGTTCTCTTCATCGACGAAGCATATGCTCTGGTGCGCAATGGCAAGGACACCCTCTCAGCTCCTGACTCTTGGGGCTCGTGGGTTTGTAGTGTCTGCTGCTGACCCAAGCGCTGGGGGTGCATGTACTTGCCGAAACAAAACAAGTTATGAACATTGGTCCGAATGTTGCTTGTCAGGCACCCTATCCAGCCGAGTCTGTAATATAATGTAGGGGCCTAAACAATTACATGCCAATACTATTGTGGGGGTTCCTTATTGTAATTATAGTATAATTGGTCCCAAAACCCTATTCTAATTATGAAGGCCCCTATGTTACCCATAGATACCTGGACCCCTGGGGAATGGTTCGCCCATCCTCAGCTTTCTCTGACTGGATTGCATATTTGGTTCCAGTTCGAACAGCCCTAAACCCCTAAACCCTACACCCTTAGCCCCTTAACCCTATATGGACCCGATTGAAGGAACTTTGTCAAGGACCCCTGCCCCGCCCCCAAATATATGTATATATACAGTTATATATATATATATATATGTATGTATGTATGTTCCTACCCTAAGGCTCCTAAGAGGGTCTTGGGCTTTCTGGGGGAGGTTTTCGGCTTTTGGGGCTGGGGTCCGGGATCTCACTACAAGGGTCCAGGAGCCTTAAGGTAGCGTTTGGGATGCAATAGAGGGGCCTTATTTATTAGTGTAGGGTTTTGAGGCCATTGTAGTATAGTTATAATAAGGAGCCCCTAGGAATGCAGTTGAGGGGCAAAAACAGGCGCACACCCTATAGTAAACTCCATAAAGTTGGAAACCGGATTAAGGCCAAATAGTGCTGGCATTCCCTATACATTACTCTTAAAGGTTGAGGCTATGAGGTTTCCAAGTTTTGGGCGTTTACTGTAAACCCTAATTGATAACAGCCCAAAGCCTCGACACCAAACATCGCGAACTCCGGCAAGTTCGGCAGCCCTCCGCTCTCGAAATGATCAAGAAGCCTATGCTTTAGGGGCTTAAATGATTACCTATACTATTTTGGGGGGGTCCTTATTCTAACTATCGTGTAGTATACCCCCCCCCCCCCAACAATAGTCGAAGTACTAAGGCCCCCATATGATGCTTTAGGTGAGGGCGCTACAGACGAATGGTAACAACAGGGACTATGGTGAATAGATCCTTTCTCTATTCCCACTATACCGCTATTATGGCCCTGAACCCTAAACCCTGACCCCCAAGACATGAGGGGCCTAACACCGCCTATCCTCTGAATGTTGTCTGGCAGGACACCTTTGGCCAGGAGGCAGTGGACACGCTGATCAAGGATTGACATGGGCGGGGTTTAGAGACCCACGACCCAATGTATCTATGCCTGTACAGTATACCTTATGCCTTACAGCTCGTGACTTACATAGTATGTGCTATACCTGTACCTTGTGTCTGGCATCTTGTATCTTACAGGTTATAACTGTAAATCATATCTACCTCCTGGCATCTTGCTGTATCCACCTATCTGTGTAATATATATATATATATATATATATATTATGTACGATCACGTCACATAGTTTATTGCACTTTGCCTACCCAGATCTTCCAAAATACCGAAACGAAGGTATGTAACCGAGATCATGCTATGGTTCCTACTGTAGTGTACGGTATATTCCTTAAGTAAGTGCTTTGGAAGATCCGTGCAACTACGGAGCTTTTCAGGCCGGGCGAGAGGGGAGAGGGCGCGGGTCGGGCCTCAAAGCCGAAACAAGGAGGGAGCGTCAGGGGATGAAGGCACCTTCGTCGATTGGGGTTTAGGGTTTAGGATCTAGGGTTTAGGGTTTCGGGTTTAGGCTTAGGATCTAGCCAGGTCTTCTTAAATCCCTGAATTAAGGTCTTCTTAAATCCCTGAATTAAGGTCTGTGGGCGGTTCCCTGAATTATGACCCGGCAAGGGTCTCTAGTCTAGAAAACTTAGTGTGATTTTAGGTATGTTCCTTCATCAAGGAATTTTGGAAGATCTGGCTAGGCCCCCGTCTAGGCTAGGGTTTCTGGTCTGGGTTTAGGGTTTGGGGTTTCAAGAATCAGGGTGTAGGGTGTTGGGATTTAAGGTTTATGCAGGTTCAGCGTTTAGGCTTCACCTTGAGTCCTGGTGCAGGAGATGGAAGACAAGCGGAAGAACGTCATTGTCATCCTTGCCGGCTATGAGCCTGTACTTGCAATACCCTAAGGGTCCAGAGGATCCAATAACTAGGTACTTGGGTTTAGGATAGTAGTTATGTAGCTCAACATTTAGGAGAGTCTATGATTTTTGGGTACTTGGACCCTTATGGATAGGGGGGTGGTCTTCCGTCTTGGCTTCTCAAGGGTGCCTTCTCAGCCAGGAAAACCAAACCACGAAACCCTGAACCCTAAACGTCCAAATCGCTCTAAGCCAGAGCTTGTGGGCTCTTGGGCCTGCACTCTAAACCCTCAACCCTGAAGCCCAAAATCACTTGATTGTGTTTAACGTTGTATTCTGGTGTTTCAGCACTTCGCTCTTGGCATATCGTGTTTCAGCCGCTGGGGCTCTTCTGATGATACAGCGGCAGCGAGATCTACGACTCTTACTCAACTAAGCATAGCCCAAACCCTAAACCCTGGGTGAAGGGGCACCCTGTAAAGAACCCTCAGAGGAACCCTAGCAATAACCATGGCCCATACCCTAAACCCCTAAACCCTAAACCTTAAACCCTAAACCCGAAACCCTAAACCCGAAACCCTTATATAACTATATAACCCCTAAACCCTACACCTTAAACCTTAAACCCTAAACCCGAAACCCTAAACCCCTAAACCCTACACCTTAAACCTTAAACCCTAAGCCCTAAACCCGAAACCCTAAACCCTAAACCCCTAAACCCTACACCTTAAACCTTAAACCCTAAACCCGAAACCCTAAACCCCCCAAGGAGTCGGAGATGGACACATTCTTCGATTCGAATCCGGGCTTCAAGTCCCGCGTTCCCTTCAGCTTCCGCTTCGAGGTGGGGTCTTAGATTAATAAGGTAGAAGCCAGAAAGTTGGAATATGATTATCCTATAAACCCTTCATGGTAAATTATAGGGGATCCTACCATTACTCCATATTCCAACTTTCTGGAGTTCCTTCTTATTATAGGGTCCTGAACAAGTACCAATACTGTTGTGGGGGTGTTCCTTATGAAAATTATAGTATAATGGGCCCCAAAACCCTATTCTAATTATTAAGGCCCCTATAGTAGGGTTTAGGGTCCTTTTGCCTTGAAATCCGTTTTTTAGTGCTTGGTATAGGGCTCTGAACTGTGGGAGTTTCCGAAAATTAGGGGTACCTTATTTGGGGTCCTTATAATAAGGATCCTACTATTTAGGGTACTATATTAGAGCCAACCTATTTTCGGAAAGCCCCATGTACAGGCCATTGAACAACTTTTGTCTGTGTGTGCGTGTGTGTGTGTGTGTGTGTGTGTGTGTGCGGGTGGATCCGTCTTATTGAGTTCCGATGTTGGGTCATTACGTGGCTAGTCAAAGCCAAGTATGGGGGTGTCTTTCGAAGGAACGGTCAAGTGCTGGGGCTTTGAGATTTCGGCCTTTGCTCTTTTACTTCTATAGTTCACAATCTATCTCAAGAAGGCGCCCCGGAACGACTTGCCGAATCAATCCGGACCCCCAAACCCTGAACCGGGGAAGAGGCTTTGGCAAGCACCCGACGTCGGAGCCTAGGAACCACACCCCGGCCGCTGCCCCTAAACCCCAAACCCCAATCCCTATATAAACTCGAACTCCTCAAGCTTAAAACTTAAACGCTAAGCCTGTAAAGCCTCAACCCCGAAATCCTAAGCCCGAAATCCTGAACCCCCAAGCCCCAAACCCTTATCAACCCTTATGAATGATAAGACCCTATATAAACCTTTGAGACTAATCGCGGCAGGATTACAGCTGCAACGAGCTCGGCCAGATTGGCAACCTTGCCGCTTGCATCTGCAGGTTAAGGGTGTACTATAGGAGCCTAAATGATTGCCAATACTATTTTGGAGGTTCCTTATTATAAGTATAGTATAATGGGCCTCAAAACCCTGTTCTAATTATTAAGGCCCCTGTATTCGGGTCTAGGGCTCGGTTTTCAGTGTGTTGAAGGGTTGCAAGGGTATTGGTTTCGGGTCAAAGGCAGGGTTTGGGGTTCAATTGATGGTGTTTCAGGTATATAACAAAACTAAAGGACGGGGATAAAAACAGCAATGTCCTTATGGCCCCTGATATATGCAAAGCATAGTATACCCACCAAATCCTATTCTGGGTTTTCTAAGGCCCCAACATCAGCGCTGTAAATGGGTATTGTTGAGCTCCCCGGTCGAACCCTTCAACCGTAACCCCTAAACTTCTTAGTAGCTGAGTGGATACACTTGACACTTTTTGGGATAATATTACCCACTGTAAAGCGAAAAGTGTACACTTTTTGGGGGGCTTATGAACTCAGCAACAAAGAGTTTGAGCGCTAAGCCCCAAACCCTATACCCTGTAAAACCTAAACCCTAATTTAGGGCATCGCAGATTTAGGAGTGAGACCCTGCGTCAGAATCAGAGCCCCAGAGATGTGAAATTGACACCCTCTGACCTGCGAGAACCCCTACTCTTAAACTCCAAGGTAAAAGCCAGAAAGTTGGAATATGATTATCCTAACCCTTGTATGGTAAATTATAGGGTATCCTACCATGAAACCATATTCCAACTTTCTGGAGTTCCCTGTAATCTTAAACCCTAAGCCTTAATAGCTAACCCCTGAAACTCGAGACATGATTCGCCCGGCCCGGGATTCACCGGCAACTCCAGTGACCTGCCTGCGGCTTCAGTCTTATACAGAAGCCCATCCCAAAGGCTCCATGCACCCTTATAGTATATACTTAGGCCTTAAAGTACCTATATAGGGACCCCTTTAAGGCCAAAGTATCCACTATAAAGGTACATGGAGCCTTTGGGTATGTAAATACCAACAACATTATCCCGTAGGTTGAGGGTTTAGAGTTTAGGGTTTAGGGCCTTAGGCGTGCTTATTCTATGGTGACTATACAGGAGCCCAAAACCCCAGTCTAATCATTACCCTAAACCCTGAACCCTAAACCCTATTCTAATCATTAAGGCCCATGCATTATCTGCATACATCCCGGAGCAGGTCCTGTCTTCACAGGGTCTTGCCGTGCCGCCGCAAGCTTCGCGGACTTGTTAATGGGGTAGGGTCTTTTAGGAGTGCCAAGCGCTGCCGACTGTCCAATCTAGAAACAAAAGCTGAAATGGTTGACCTGTTTTGGCGGAGTAATCTTGGAGGCGGCGCAGAATAAAGAGGAGTAGGGTTTAGGATCTAGGGTGTAGAGTTTAGGGTCTATGGGCTTATAGTGTCTAGAGAGTGCCCAGGTACTCAAAAAAAATCGGGCTCAAATACCGCGCTGCTCGATAATGTCTTTCGGCCTTTTAAGACCCGCAGGGCCAGACGTAGACAGTGGAAGCTCAGGGTCCAAAGCCTAGACACCCCAGCCAAAGGCTCCATGTACCCGTATAGTACATGCAGTGGCCCCAATGTACTTATTTAGGGGGGCCTCTTCAAGGCTTAAGTATATTATATAATGGAGTCTGATGAAAAAGACCTGGGCCTATAACTCCAAAATAGTGGGATTCATATAAGGAACCCCAATAAATGCCCAAGCTTTCTTAGTCAGGTTCCTACATTACTTAATTGGGACATGGAGCCTGAGGGCCACCAAAGGAAAGAAGCTTCTCAGTCGGAGAGTCCATGGCCCTCTCCAAGGAACTAAACCTACCAGTAGGGTTTAGGGTTTAGGGATTTAGGGGTTTAGGGTTTAAGGTTTTAGGGTTTCAGGGTTTAAAGGGTTTTAGGGTTTTAGGGTTTAGGGTTTTAGGGTTTACCTGAACCCTGGATATCCTATTTGAGGACTTATATAAGGCAATCATAACAAGCAACCCTGGAAAGGTTGGTTCTTCAGGGCTCATGTAGGGTTTAGAGGAACTCATAACCCAGTAACCGACCATATAGAAAACTGGGCTCTTCCAGTCCCAAAGCCATAATCAAAGGGGAAAAGGAGGCACCCTTAATGGGGACCCCTACCCTATGATGGGCTATATATAATGGGTATATAAAAGCTCTACTAAGGGTATATACCTAGGGGTCCTTATTAAGGGTCCCTCCTGTTACCCTTGGACTTAAGGAAACCCTGAACCTTGTAGACACTGTAGGTACATTTACCCTAACCTACTTGGTGTAGCTATAGAAATGTTCACCCGAACTTGACGCCGCACCACATACCATCTACACATCTACAGCCACGCACTCCGGATATACCCCTTGAAGGAACCCTGTTGAAGGAGCCCTCCTGCAAGCTCTAAGCCCCGGACCCAGCCGTTTTGACGGAACCTCCCCTAAGCCCACACACCCTCAACCACTAAGCCCTGAAACCCTAAACCCCTAAACCCCAGATCTGAAAGTCCGAACCCTTCATCCTTGAAGCTCTACCTAGACTCCCCAACTACCCTAAAATATACCCCAAATATCCACAGTTTAAATGGCCATAACAGCTCTTTTTAAAGGGCCCTGGGGGGGGGTCCTGACACACCCTGAACGCTGAGGTCGGCACTCAGTTCGTGGACCTCATCTCCTTTGCCAGCGGCTGCTGCATTCCGGCAGGGATTTTAGAAGAATGACTCATTACCACGCTCATCCCCTATATAGTATGTATGATGTACCCAAAAGTCTTACTTTAGCCGCGAGGAAATGAGGGGCACTCTGGATTTAGAGCTTAGGGTTGTAGGGTTTTGATGCTCAGGTTACAGGTTACAGGCTCTGGGTTCAAGACACGTTCAGGTTTGGGGTTCACAATTTGGAGCTAGGATACAGGGATGAGGACCTGGCGTTTAGAGTCTAGACTCAGGCTTCAGGGAATCACAAGTTTGCCAGCGATTCCGTGTAATTCATCCACTAGGCTGTAGGCTGCGGTGTTGAGATAACTCCAGTAGATGAAAGCCACTGGGCTGCTAGGGCTGCATTGTGGTTTGAAATCATCGACGTGATGGCGTGGGCATGCAGGTACAGCTAAGGCACTCCTGCATACATCCCATAACATGCCTGAAGCTTGCCTGTGGCCACCGAAGCCCCCAGCCCTCAATACCAAGCCAAAGGCCCAACAAACCCTAACAAACAACACTCCACCCGAAGCCCCAAAACTTTTACTCCTTAGCTCCCCCACCAAGAAATCTTTGCAGCTCGATGTCCGGCATGGCACACAGGCAACAACGTCGCAGATGCCGACTGCCACCCATCCAGGGACAACGGCAACGGCCGCACTGTTCGAAACGTGGTCGAGGCAGGGCGTGTGGAGTTCAACATTGCAGCCTGAATAAGTAATGCTAAGTATCCCAAAGGACAGTATAGTTCGTATAGTCCCGTATGTACTTTTGGGACCCAAGTATCGACAAAGTACCTACTACAATACTGTTTTTTGTTGGACCCGTTGGGCTTATTATTATACTGAAGTAGAACATCGCCAAGTGCCCTATTCTTCTGACTTATGCCGCACATTCCCGTTTCGGGCCTTTGGAGGCAAACCGTTGAGGGAGGCAGCAGCAAGATGTGAAAGCTTAAACCCTACAGCCCAATACTATAGCCTTAATATTAATACCCCTAAAAAAGGCCCTAAGGGTCCAAGTACCCAGTGATCCTTTACTCTCCTAAATTTTGAGCTACATAAATACTATCCTAAACCCAAGTACCTAAACTCTTGCCCTGAGCCCCAAACCCCTAAAACCCTACACAAGGAGCCTTTTGATCGAGGGCGTTTTGGTTTTAGGGTTTAGGGTTGCAAGGGTTTAGGGACACATTGTAGACCCAAATCCAACCCTAAACCCTACCTTAACCCGGAATAACCTACCTTTTTAAGGACCTATATAAGGAAATCATAATAGTGAACCCTAAAAATAAGGTAGGTTATTCAGGGTTAAGGTAAGCCCCTGAGGATCCTCAAGCGTTGCAGCTTGAAAACCCCGACAGCTTCAAAGTCTAAACCCGAAAGCCCAAAACCTCAAATCCAAAGCCTGTAACCTAAATTCATAATCTTGCCTGCAAGATACTAGCATTGAGCTTTCGGCTTCGGGCTATGGGGTTGAAAGGTTGAGAGTTTAGGCTTTAGGATTTGTGTTTAGGGTTTCGGAAGGGGGGTCTGACAAAGAATCGAGGACGTAAGGGATCTCCTTGCAGACACAGCACCAAGTGGATTCTAGTTGTCATAGGTAGAGTTTCGAACTACATGTACCCTAACTTTGCTTACCCAGGTATGTATGTCGACTTACAGGGATCCTCTCTGTTTCTGTCAGTTGTCGGAATTCTAGGGATTCGGAGTTTCGGGCAAATTGATTTTGCGCTGGGTGATGCAGGAGGTGTCGGGCCGTGGGGGACCGCCGTAGTGGGGCTGATGAGGTGCCGGCATCCGACTATATTGGACTCCGGTTTAGGGTTTAGGGTCAACCATTGGCCTCCGGGCCCAGCTGGCCGAAACAGTGCAGCCCCAACAGCCCCTGAACGGCATATAAGTACCTAACTATCATATACTCTCAAAGTAATAGCCTACATAGCTACTACCCTAAACTCGAGTACCTAATTATTGGGTCTTTTGGTCCCTTATAGTACCCTTATAGTATCCCTTGTAGTAGCCCTTGAAAGGAACCCTAACTCTTGGGTCCTTTGGCCCCCCCCCTACGGTTAATGCCTCGCCTGTGCAACCCAAAACATGACCTCATCCCAGATCCGAATTCAGGGCGTGGGCTTCGGGTTTGGCGAAGAGCCTATATAATATAGGTGCTTTGGGGCCAAAGTATGTACTTTATCGGGCACGTGGACATTATGGTTAAATCAGAACAACCCCATTGAGGTGTGTGGCTTAGCATTTGGTGTTCGCAGGTTCTAGGTTTGGATCATGTTCGAGGGCTTGTAGTAGAAGCCAGAAGTTGGAACATGGCTTTGGGAGGATTACTGCTAGGATCCCTTATACTTCACCTTAAGGGCATGAGGATAATGATGTTCCAACTTTCTGGCTTCTACTATATGCAATGCAAACTGCCTACTGCCTTGAATTCCCCTGACAACTAAGCCCCTTCCCTGACCCACCAACAGGCGGAACCCCACCTAAGCTCAACAAAAACTGAAGCCCTTACTCCGAAACCCTGAACCCCTAAACCCTAAAACCCGAGACCTGGCAAAGATCTGCGTGCAGAGTTTCGGATCTGCGGCACGCCATGCTGTCATTCGCCATCCTGTTCAGGCTGGCGCAGAATCAGGTCGCCCGCAAAGCCGCCAGCCGACGAATCCAGGCATGGTGGCGGCGCATTGTGCAGGCACGCCGGCAGGCCCAAATATCGGCGCTCGCCCTTCCGTGGCGTGGGCGCTCAGTATTTGTCGCGGCCGCGTCGGCTGCGGTTCGAGCACGCCCGTCGAGGAGGCGATGATCATTCGGCGATGCAGCGTCGAGCAGGATGAGCCATGCCCGCCTGGACGGACGAAGCTGGACTTAAGACAAAACGAAACTTTTAAACCCTAAACCCTAAACGGTAAACCCTCAAACCTCTAAACCCTGAATCCGAAAGCCTGAACGGCGAACCAGGCGGAACAAGGCGTTTAAAAGAAAACAAAACTGAGCGGTGAAGGCCCTGCAGCGGGCTATGGCAAAGCGAGTCGTTCGCGACGGGGGTAGGCCAGAAGTTCCACGGGCTGCGAAACCCCATGGGTCCCAAAGGAATTTGTCGGGTTTAGGGTTTATAGGGATCAGGGTTTAGGTTTTCGGGTCCCCAGGATCCAACAATTAGGGCTCTTTTAAAGGGTTCTATAAGGGGTTTACAGGGTTTCAGAGAAATTTTAGAAATCCAAAGGACCCAATAATCAGGTATTTGGGTTTAGGATAGCAGTTATGTAGGTTAGTGTTTGGGAGAGTATATGATAGTTTTGTACTTGGACCTTTACGGTTGCAGAGGTTAGGGCTTCGTTGGGACTTGGGGTCTGTTTTTGGTGTTTGGGTATCCCTCGGCCCTAAGGACTCATATATTAAGGCTCGTAAGGCTCAAAGGCCATACTATATAGGGCTTTTGGGTTATTTTGATCCCCTGGGTATGTTGTGTGGTTTCAAGGTATTTTCCAGTTGTCGCGTTTAGTGAGTTGAGGCTTATTGCTTGCGAACAGTGTTTAGGATTTACGAACACGGACAAACCGTAAGGGTCCAAGTATCTCATCTCCGAAATACTAACCTTCATAATCTTTTTGCAAGCCCTCAAGCATGACGTCGAAATCCGCAGGGGCAGAAGTAGAGTTCCACCCGGCCTGTGCTGCTCTTCAAGCTTTGCAGCTGCTAGGTCCTACCCATAGGCCCCGAAGTAGTTCCTTTTGGGGATTAACTAATAGTTAGGGTGAAGGGCCGTCAGAAAGAACACTATTGAATATTGGGTTAGGGGTTACGGAGTTAGGGTTTAAAAGCATGCAGAACAATTGCCTGTTTATTCGTGTTGGGCTATTAGTTTACCTATGTTTGGGGGTTTGGGTAACAGTCCTGGGGCCCTAACCCCTAAACCCCAAGCCCTAAACCCTATAAACCCTGGCCATGTTCCGACCTGTTAAGAGGAGTGCAGAAGAGCTGGGCACTCTGACGGCGGCAGATGCGCCTTCGCTGATATGGATACCTCACTTGCGAAGTCCCTACTTGGGTTCAGGGTTTGGGGATTTATGGCTTTAGGGTTTAGGGCTTCGGGCTCTAGGCCTTTAAGTTTGCCTTTCGAATTTAGGGTTCAGGGTTTAGGGCTTTGCGGTTTAGGGTTAGAAGCGCTACTATAGGGGCTTAAATATTATCTACCAATACTATTTGGTGGTTCCTTATGAAACCAAAATAGTATAACGGGTCCCAAAAACCTATTCTGTTTTTCAGGCCCCTTTTTTGCTTGGGTTGAAGGTTTAGAGTTAGGGACTAATTGTTGACAGTATGGCCGGATGTAATTTCCTGCTGTGGTAATGCATGGGTGCCGCTAACTGAAGACATTTTATAGATGTAGTATGACTTTGTTCTCAGGAGTACGTTCAAACACCTCAGGGTGGGGTGAACCCTAAGGCCCGGGGCCCTCCAACACCAAATTATCGGCCCTAGACCCGCGACACCGGGTGGGAATGAAAAACGCGCCCGGAAGCCTTACATACGGTTGATGATACTGCATTACCCATAATAAGGAACAGACCGTAATTTCCATAGTTTAGGGTCCCTAAGGTAATGCAGGATTTAAATCAACTGTAGTGTGGTCTTTGGGCCCAGAAGCCTTAGTATATGAGTCCTTAGAGCCCTGGCGTACCCGACAGGTCGTTGCAGTGGCAGAGGAACAAGCCAAGACAAGACTGGAGGCCTTTTCGGGCTCAGGTTATGGGAGCAAAGGGTCCTAGGTAATGTTTTGGGGGATGCTTCCCCAAATCATATCAGTAAATCCCTTTGTTTAGAAGCCCTATACATTCTACTATATAGTATAGGTCCTGTGGACCCTAATTCTCGTGACGACAAAGCACCCATCGTATCATCACTCGAGGCTGCAGTCGCCACAGACGACAGCTGGGATATCAGCAACAACTACGTAGAGTACAATAGTGCCCATCGAATGGTGTGGTTCGATCTTCCCTACCAGTTGAAGCGAAGTGAGGTCATGCCAAGGGGCCTTACAAGGGCATAAAGGTTTGAGGGGGGTGATTGAGGGATTGCAGCCGTCGCCCACGCCAATTACTTGGAGAAATCTGCGCCCTGAGCTCGAGGGCCGAACGGCGCCCCCCGCAGGGTTGGAAGGAGGCCGCAGCGCCGGGCGTGGCCGGGGACGACACTTCGCAACTGAAAGCCTTGAGCCTTGCGGGCAGCCACACCAACTCTGTGCTGAGATGCTTCTTGCAGGAAGTCCCGCACAGTGGCGACGATGCTTTGCGCCACGGAGGCCGCTTGTCGATGGAGCTCCTGGGGAAGCGAGATTCGGCCTTTCACCGTGCAGTCACAGACGGTGTGCCTTGGGAAGTGCTGTCGAAAGACGTGGCCAGTCAGATGCCTCAGCTACTTTCTCTTGGTTCAGCGAAGGGGCAATGCGACACTGCAGCGAGCAGAGCACGAGCTCGAAGGCTTCACCAGTTGTGGATGGCCCATTCCCATGGTGACACCCAGCCGGATTTCGGGGTCGTCAAGAAGAACTGTGGAGGTCACCTGCCATGTGCTTTTGTGTGCCCTATTTGGGATTTAAGGGGCTGAAAGGAACCCTTAAGGACACCCTATTATGGAACCGTACAGTAGCCTTAAAGGGAACACGATTGAAAACCTAATAGCACTTGTTCCAGGGTGTTGACATCCACGCTTCATGTAAAGGGTTTCTTCCGGGTGTTTATATCGACAGGTGTTGCAAGGGCTTCAGGTTTGGGGTAATGTAGGGGCCTCAATAATCAGAATGAGGTTTGGTGGTATGTTATAGTATAATTGTAATAAACAACCCCCAAAACCCCAGTCTAATTATTCAGACCCCTACATTCTCAAAGGGTCCAAAGTACCTATATAGTAGAATGTAGGGTAGGGTTTCTATAGTAGGTTTACATACTATGATTTGGGAAGGTATTTCCCATAGCAGTACATAGGACCCTTTGGGATTGTGTGCGGCGCGTTCGGGTTAACCCTAAACCCTAAACTTAAACCCTAAACCAAAACCCTAAACCCTAAACCCTAAACCGTGGCTTTTGGTGGGTTTGGGGCCTGGGGCTCGGGCTCGGTCCTTCAAGGAAACCGAGTACAGAACCCTTAAGAGCTCCCTGTTCGGGAGCTTGAAGGCCGTTATAGGGTTTAGGGTTTTCGGCGTTCATTGATTCATGTTTCGCGAGTTAAGGGTTTATTTCAGGGGTTAGGGTTCCGGGTTAAGGGTCTGTTTCAGCGTGTAAGGTTTATGTTAGGTGTCTGCAGGGTGTTTCGATGTGCCTGGGCTACTTCGAGTTCAGGGCTTCTGCTGGACGGCTGAGGGTTCAAGATCTGGCCCTAGGGCTCTAAGGACTCATATAGCCCAAAGAGCATACTACGGTCGAGCTTAATGACCCTAGACTATGGGAATTATGGTATATTCCTTGTTATGGTTAATGCAGGATTTATATCCCTAAACCCTGAACCCTATAGATCCCTTAAGGGAACCCCTGAAAGGGATCTATAGGGTATGTCCATCAACCGTACTTCGTAAATAGGGCTTTGGCGATGCCAATCAGGCTAGGAGCTTTCCCGGATCCCAAAAGAGTATGTCATGGGGGGTAGGGGGAGGGGGGGGGGTAGGGGGCCTTAATGCCCATAACAAGGACCCAATAAAGGAAGTACCAGTCCTCTACCCCCCTCCCCCTACCCCCCTATGCTGGGTCCCTATGGGTATGTCACTCTCAGAAGAAGGACCCTAAGGTACTCTACTTAAAGGATCATGGGACTTAGTAACCAGGGTTATAATTAGGGTAGCTATACTTATAACTACTTATAACCCCAATTAAGGTACTTATAACCTTACTTACTAAGTCCCATGATCCTCCAAGTAGTGAGCCCCTCAGACAGAGTCATGACGAAGCGGCTGGGTTCAGACTTCACGGCTTAGGGTTGCGACGACATCTATTTTTTTAGGTTTCAGTATTCCCCATGAAGCCTGAACCCAATGTCCCAACCTACTTTCCTCGAAGTATGTGACCCTCCTTCTATAAGACAGAGAGGCGTAGAAAGTTCGAACGCAGATTGTAGAACATTTATCATACCAGCATACAGCAACACTCCCACGAAGCCAAACAAGTCCTGTTGAGGTCGGTTAGGTTGTAGAATGTTCATGGTTGATGGTTGTAGTTACTGCCTGCATAACCCTCAAAAACCTGTTCTACAGTAGACTAGGTTATTGCACCCACAAGGTAATGTAGTAGTTCAACATGTAAGTTATTTTGGTCCGACAAACCCCGCGCACCCTAAAGCTTAAATCTATGCGCTACAGGGCCCCTGCGGTCAAGACGGTCTCTTGTACAAGCTTGCGCATGCTGCTGCTCAGGAGGCGTGGATTGGGAACACTTCTCCCCGAAAAACTACAGGTCCTAACTATAGATAGATTAAAGTAGGTTGAATGCCTGTCCTCTTGGTTACTTGGTGTCTTGAATATAAGATTCTTACCATGAAATGGGTTACCCCAAAGCGGTACTAAATGTGGCGCCCTGTAGATCGTAATGCAGGTCTTGTGTCTTGGGATGAGGGGGTTCGGGTTCAGGGTCCCAGTAGCTCCCAGTCGTATATTTGCAGAGCGACACGCACAGTGTCCCTCTGTCTTTCTCCCCTCTATGCATACGTGCACCAGACACACAGACAGACAGACAGTCAGACAGACAGAAGTAGATGCATACATATGTATGCACATACACGCACATACAGTGATAGAAAAAAGCTACGTGAAAGCATGGAATATAACGTCATATCCCTTTTGATGTACATGTGCACGGAGTGTGATGTAAGGTCAGGTAAAGTAAGGTACGGAAGGGTGGGGGGGAGGCACGCAGTTAGGTAGGCAGGTAGGTGGGTAGGTATGTAGGTGCTATGCAACGCCTCAGCCGGCAGTTTGTTACAAGTAGGTCATTACACGCCCACATGCATCCAACGTCATAAACCCAGGCCTACATTTTGAAGCCCTGTATCAGTTCTCATCCGTCCAACTTCAGTTCTGACAGCTCGTCAATAGGGGCCAGCAGAGACCAACAGGGGATGACCCACAAACTGAAGATGCACCTCCATTATTTCTCTATTTGAGAGTCATCTGCAGCACTTAGAGACGTATTTGCCACCGAAGACGATCAGTCCCTTAGCTTCCAGGACCCTAAAGCCCTAAACCCTAAAACCCTGAACCTTGAACCGTACCCTAAATATTAAAATGGTAAGCCCGACTTTCAAGGCTGGTCTTCGTTCATGGTTCGACGAGTACAAGCTGTCCGACCCACGCACGCAGCTGCACAGGCAAGATGGATTTACTATAGTATCCATATCCAAAAGGGTCCAAAGTACTGATATAGTAGAATGTACGGTTTTTATATAAGGAATTACTAGTATGATTTGGGGAAGTATTCCCCATAACAGTACATTGGACCCTTTGGGATATGGGAGGGGGTTCCAAGGGGGTAGATGACCTACTAGTCCCTCACCCTCCCTTTAGGACCCTAACAACTTAGGGTTCTGGGTTTAGGGTGCTTGCACCCTGAATCAGAAAGCCTAGAACCTTCAGGCTCAACGGTCTCCGACTGGGCCTCGCGACGTACTTGAACGCAGAAGTTTCTAGGTTTGGGGTATTAGGGTTTAGGGTTTAGGGCCCTAAAGACCTTTACCTGAACCCTCAATCATAAAATAGTGTGGTGCACCTACGATGTTTGGGTCCTGGACTCGTAGAGAAAATGAGACCGAACCCTAAATTTCATGTCATGTGTTGTTTCCAACTCCGTGACGTATAGGCGTCGGCCTACGAATTGTTGCAGCAAATATTTTTTTGTTTTCTAGTATACCCTAAGGGTCCATGTACCTAAATAGTATATACATTGGCCTTAAAGTACTCCCTATATGGGTACATTGGGCCTAAAGTATATACTATTTGGGTACATGGACCCATATACCCTAAACCCTTATGGATCCCTTATAGATCCCTTTAAAGGAACCCTTATGATACCCTTAAAGGAGACCCCTGTTTGGGTACATGGACCCTCAGGGATACTTATGAAACCGTAGACTGGTCAAACACTTTTCAAGCTACTCTAGACCCCCTAAGGTAAAAGCCAGAAAGTTGGAATATGATTATCCTAAACCCTTTATGGTAAATTATAGGGTATCCTACCCTGAAACCATATTCCAACTTTCTGGAGTTCCCTTTATATTCTCTTGAGCCTCGCGGATACTGTCTCGCGCAACGCGTTCAAGACATGTGATGCTTTAGTCATGGCCCAGGGTTCGCAGGTTTAGTTCGTGAAACATGTGTATGACATGAAGGGGTTTATGGTTTATGTACATGTGTATCACATATATGTATACATACATACATATAAACAAACAAACAAACAAGTGAGTAAATACCTAAGTATATAGCAGCAAACATACATACATGCATACATACATGCACAGCTATGTATGTACTTATATGTACTCAAGTAAACAGCCATGTACACATGTGTATATATATACATACATGTATATATATATATATATATATATATATACATGTATGTATATATACACATGTGTACATGGCTGTTTACTTGAGTAGCTACTTGTTTGTGTATGTATGTATATCCCGAACCTATTAAACATATATGTGCACGCACACTGTCTCGAAGCAGATGTACCTATAGGGTCATACCCTACCCCTTTTTTTAAGGTACCTACTTTTCTATACAAGAGAACCTAGCCATGAAACTAGGTACCCTGAAACAGGGGTAGGGTATGACCCTCTAGGTATGCAAGCATGATTCGGAAGTTCATGCGGGCCAGAGCTCTGGTTAGAGTTCGAGACTTTCGATGCAGCCCTGAGGATCCATGTACCCAAATAGTATATACTTTGGGCCCAATGTACCCATGTAGAGAGTACTTTTAGGCCAATGTATATACTATTTAGGTACATGGACCCTTAGGGCAGGTGGAAGGTCTGGCAGCTGCTAGCTTTTAGGCTTGAGGGTTTAGGCATCAAGTGCCGAAAATGCTTGGCGTGTTAAACTCAAGGCAGTACATGCCTATCTGACGGTTCGCCTCGTACCGTTGCTTTTTGTCAGGGCTTAAGGAGTGGCCTCGATGAGATAAATCCTTACCCTGAGGGTCCATGTGCCCAAATAGGGATCCTCTAAGGATTCCTTTAAGAGTTGCTAACTATAAGGGTTCTATAAGGGTTTAGGGTATAAGGGTCCATGTGCCCAAATACTTTAGACATTGGCCTTGAAGCAGTCCCCATTTAGGTACTTCGGGCCCAAGGTATATACTTTTCGGGTACACGGACTCTGAAAGCCTAAGCCCTTTACAGAACCCTTATAGTATAGGTACTTTGGGGCCAAAGCCTATACTATTCAGGTACACGGACCTATATGGCCTAAACCTTAAGGGTCCAAAGGCTCCAATGTCAGGTACTTGGGTTTCGGATAGTAGTTATGTAGGTTACTATTTTGGAGAGCATATGATAACTAGATACTT